CAGTTAAAGAGCTCGTATCTACATTAGCTGATGATTTTCCCCCCTGAGCTCCACTGATGACGTCTGTGTGGCTTTATGTTCCAAAAACACACAGAATTTATTTTTAAACAGGCTGATCTGTTACTGTGCCTTTAAGACTGATATATGTAAATGAGCTCTGTTCTTTAGTCTGAATGGGTGGAGCTAAACTGCCATAGGCTGAATGGGTGGAGCTAAACTGCTGTAGGCTGAATGGGTGGAGCTAAACTGCTGTAGGCTGAATGGGTGGGGCTAAACTGCTGCGGGCTGAATGGGTGGGGTGGAGCTAAACTGCCGTAGGCTTAATGGGTGGGGCTAAACTGCTGTAGCTGAATGAATGGAGCTAAACTGCTGTTTCTTGTGTCAATATAAAACAATTCATTCAAAACAGGTGGTTTGTGCAGCTTTGTCTCCAAGAAGCTGAGAAAATTCAGCTTGTATTGAGTTGAATTTAGTTTTTTAATCCTCTCTGATGTTTAAATTTTTTCTGCTTGAGTTTAAGATCCAAAAAGACACATTTTAAAATAAGTAGAAGAAACACTGGGATCTACTTTCAGACACGTAACATGCAGTTAAAAGATCTTCCGAAGAACCGAAAGCTTTAGCAAGTTAGAGAGAGTCTGTTGTGGTGTTGTTTTATTCTCCTTGACCGCTCCCTTCAGGCCGTTCGAGATTATAATCCTGCTGACCATCTTCGCTAACTGTGTAGCTCTGGCGGTGTTCATGCCGATGCCTGAGGAGGACACCAACAACACCAACAGCAACCTGGTGAGCACACAAACACACACACACTGCAAAACAAGCTGAAAAATCCCTGCCTAAAGCTACACTATGTAGGATGTGGGGATTTGGAGCCCACTCTGGTGGAAATGTGTAATTACACGCAACATGTGAAAGAGCATTTTGTAGATTCGGACCCCCACAAGCAGATGAATCTTGTGTAAGGCTGAAAGAGAATTCAGAGAGAACTCAGTCTAAACTCGGTGAAGGAGCGTCTCTGAGGATGTGAGTCAATTATCTACTACTGTCATCACATTTTCATCAGTGTGATGTTGATTCTGAGATCATTTATGGCCGAAACATCGAGCCAGACCTTCTTTTTGAGTCTGTGTGTGACGTTAATATGTAAAGACGTACGACGTGGTGTGAAAAACTTGTCGCCTCTGACTTTTAAATGATTGTTTCAGGCTTTACAGGCAACTCGCAGCAGCTCACACTCACCGTATTTTAGCCTGTTTACATTCTCCTCACTCAGTAATGAAGCTTCTTTCAGCTTTAACAATATTACACAGTGCCAGGGGAGGAACTTCAGGACAGTCTTCAGCTAAAGCCTCCTTTATCGTTCTCCTGATCTCATGGTCGTCTGGGAGAAAGTGCAGAGATGTGAAGGAGATCTCAGATGTTTCTGTCCTCAGGGAGGCTCCGCTTTATTCTTGGTGGGATTAGTAAAGAATATCAGTGCTGCGTCACACAGGGAGTCAGAGATCTCAGTGGAGATGGTCAGCGGTGTTTGGCTGCTGCGCTGATCTCTCTTTGTTCTCCAGCGAGTGTGAGTGTCCATTCTGTCCTTGACTGACTGAGAGCAGCAGCTGTTCAGACTCTCCACTGAGAGCGTAAAACCTTTAAATTTAGAACACACACAGTATACGTTCACATAAGTTTAGCTCCTGGACGGCTCTCTGTGAACTGATCTACTTGGGCTCCGCCCACAAACACATTCTTTCATATCCACTGTTGTTACATTAGACAAGATTTATAGAACACTAATAATCCCATTCAACCTAATGAGAAACTGTAGAACGACTGAATGAATAACTGACTCTAAATGTAGGTATTGTGATATAAACTGAGTCTGTTCTACAGTTTCTCATTAGGCTGAATGAATAACTGACTCTAAATGTATGTATTGTGATATAAACTGAGTCTGTGCTACAGTTTCTCATTAGGCTGAATGAATAACTGACTCTAAATGTAGGTATTGTGATATAAACTGAGTCTGTTCTACAGTTTCTCATTAGGCTGAATGAATAACTGACTCTAAATGTAGGTATTGTGATATAAACCAAGTCTGTTCTACAGTTTCTCATTAGGCTGAATGAATAACTGACTCTAAATGTAGGTATTGTGATATAAACCAAGTCTGTTCTACAGTTTCTCATTAGGCTGAATGAATAACTGACTCTAAATGTAGGTATTGTGATGTAAACCAAGTCTGTTCTACAGTTTCTCATTAGGCTGAATGAATAACTGACTCTAAATGTAGGTATTGTGATATAAACCAGTCTGTTCTACAGTTTCTCATTAGGCTGAATGACTGACCTGAGGGACATTATAAATGCATTGCTGTGATTGTATTTCATAGTTTACAGATTTGTAATGTCTCAGGCTCGTTGTGGTCGTCATTATTAGTCACTATAGATCAGCGGTCTGACCAAATATACATGTTCACAGCGTGTGAGTGCAGATTTAATGCCCGATTAAGGCCTCAAACCTCAAATAGCTGCTGGAGCTGTTGACTCATCTATTTTCACAACGTCATTCTCTGACATGCACACACACACACACACACGCACACACACAAACACACACACACATACGCTTATATCTGTGGAGACAATAAAGATGTTTGGCCGTGGTGGGTGCTTGGCCGCTCGTGGCTCTGGTGCTAATGAGGTCATTCTCAGAGTTCCTGTAGTGAAAGCAGATCTCTCTCCCTCACACTCTCTCCACAGTGGCTCAAACCACAGACTGTGTATATTTATACATATACATATGTACAAAACCTTGTACCTCTGAAATGACTACTTCATTAGAAATCAATGGAACCAGACATTTTTCTAAGTAATCTTGGGTCATTTCTTTGGGTCCATTCTTATATATATATATATATATATATATATATATATATATATATATATATAATATGTGTGTGTGTGTGTACAGTGGCTAGAGGGTTAGTTTGTGGTGTGTTAGCTCATGGCTAGAGGGTTAGTTTGGAGTGACTGTGTTAGCTCGTGGCTAGAGGGTTAGTTTGGAGTGAGTGTGTTAGCTCGTGGCTAGAGGGTTAGTTTGTAGTGAGTGCGTTAGCTCGTGGCTAGAGGGTTAGTTATAGTGACTGTGTTAGCTCGTGGCTAGAGGGTTAGTTTGGAGTGAGTGTGTTAGCTCGTGGCTAGAGGGTTAGTTTGTAGTGAGTGCGTTAGCTCGTGGCTAGAGGGTTAGTTTATAGTGACTGTGTTAGCTCGTGGCTAGAGGGTTAGTTTGGAGTGAGTGTGTTAGCTCGTGGCTAGAGGGTTAGTTTGGAGTGAGTGTGTTAGCTCGTGGCTAGAGGGTTAGTTTGGAGTGACTGTGTTAGCTTGTGGCTAGAGGGTTAGTTTGGAGTGAGTGTGTTAGCTCGTGGCTAGAGGGTAGTTTGTAGTGAGTGCGTTAGCTCGTGGCTAGAGGGTTAGTTTGGAGTGAGTGCGTTAGCTCGTGGCTAGAGGGTTAGTTTGTAGTGAGTGCGTTAGCTCGTGGCTAGAGGGTTAGTTTGGAGTGAGTGCGTTAGCTCGTGGCTAGAGGGTTAGTTTGGAGTGAGTGCGTTAGCTCGTGGCTAGAGGGTTAGTTTGTAGTGAGTGCGTTAGCTCGTGGCTAGAGGGTTAGTTTGTAGTGAGTGTGTTAGCTCGTGGCTAGAGGGTTAGTTTGCACTGAGTGCGTTAGCTCGTGGCTAGAGGGTTAGTTTGTGGTGTGTTAGCTCGTGGCTAGTGGGTTAGTTTGTAGTGAGTGTGTTAGCTCGTGGCTAGTGGGTTAGTTTGTGGTGTGTTAGCTTGTGGCTAGTGGGTTAGTTTGTGGTGTGTTAGCTCGTGGCTAGCGGGTTAGTTTGGAGTGTCTGTGTTAGCTCGTGGCTAGAGAGTTAGTTTGGAGTGAGTGTGTTAGCTTGTGGCTAGAGGATTAGTTTGGAGTGAGTGTGTTAGCTTGTGGCTAGAGGGTTAGTTTGGAGTGTCTGTGTTAGCTCGTGGCTAGAGAGTTAGTTTGGAGTGAGTGTGTTAGCTCGTGGCTAGAGAGTTAGTTTGGAGTGAGTGTGTTAGCTCGTGGCTAGAGGGTTAGTTTGGAGTGAGTGTGTTAGCTTGTAGCTAGAGGGTTAGTTTGTAGTGAGTGTGTTAGCTCGTGGCTAGAGGGTTAGTTTGTGGTGTGTTAGCTCGTGGCTAGTGGGTTAGTTTGTAGTGACTGTGTTAGCTCGTGGCTAGAGGGTTAGTTTGTGGTGTGTTAGCTCGTGGCTAGAGGGTTAGTTTGTAGTGAGTGTGTTAGCTTGTAGCTAGAGGGTTAGTTTGTAGTGAGTGCGTTAGCTCGTGGCTAGAGGGTTAGTTTGTAGTGAGTGCGTTAGCTCGTGGCTAGAGGGTTAGTTTGTAGTGAGTGCGTTAGCTCGTGGCTAGAGGGTTAGTTTGTAGTGAGTGCGTTAGCTTGTAGCTAGAGGGTTAGTTTGTAGTGAGTGTGTTAGCTTGTAGCTAGAGGGTTAGTTTGTAGTGAGTGTGTTAGCTCGTGGCTAGAGGGTTAGTTTGTAGTGAGTGCGTTAGCTCGTTGCTAGAGGGTTAGTTTGTAGTGAGTGCGTTAGCTCGTTGCTAGAGGGTTAGTTTGTAGTGAGTGCGTTAGCTCGTTGCTAGAGGGTTAGTTTGTAGTGAGTGCGTTAGCTCGTTGCTAGAGGGTTAGTTTGTAGTGAGTGTGTTAGCTCGTTGCTAGAGGGTTAGTTTGTAGTGAGTGTGTTAGCTCGTGGCTAGAGGGTTAGTTTGTAGTGAGTGCGTTAGCTCGTTGCTAGAGGGTTAGTTTGTAGTGAGTGCGTTAGCTCGTGGCTAGAGGGTTAGTTTGTAGTGAGTGCGTTAGCTCGTTGCTAGAGGGTTAGTTTGTAGTGAGTGTGTTAGCTCGTGGCTAGAGGGTTAGTTTGTAGTGAGTGTGTTAGCTCGTGGCTAGAGGGTTAGTTTGTGGTGTATTAGCTCGTGGCTAGAGAGTTAGTTTGTAGTGACTGTGTTAGCTCGTGGCTAGAGGGTTAGTTTGTGGTGTGTTAGCTCGTGGCTAGAGGGTTAGTTTGTAGTGAGTGCGTTAGCTCGTGGCTAGAGGGTTAGTTTGTAGTGAGTGCGTTAGCTCGTGGCTAGAGGGTTAGTTTGTAGTGAGTGCGTTAGCTCGTGGCTAGAGGGTTAGTTTGGAGTGAGTGTGTTAGCTTGTAGCTAGAGGGTTAGTTTGTAGTGAGTGTGTTAGCTCGTGGCTAGAGGGTTAGTTTGTAGTGAGTGCGTTAGCTCGTGGCTAGTGGGTTAGTTTGTAGTGAGTGTGTTAGCTTGTAGCTAGAGGGTTAGTTTGTAGTGAGTGTGTTAGCTCGTGGCTAGAGGGTTAGTTTGTAGTGAGTGCGTTAGCTTGTTGCTAGAGGGTTAGTTTGTAGTGAGTGCATTAGCTCGTGGCTAGAGGGTTAGTTTGCACTGAGTGCGTTAGCTCGTGGCTAGAGGGTTAGTTTGTAGTGAGTGCGTTAGCTCGTGGCTTGAGGGTTAGTTTGGAGTGAGTGCGTTAGCTCGTGGCTAGAGGGTTAGTTTGTGGTGTGTTAGCTCGTGGCTAGAGGGTTAGTTTGTGGTGTTTTAGCTCGTGGCTAGTGGGTTAGTTTGTAGTGAGTGTGTTAGCTCGTGGCTAGTGGGTTAGTTTGTGGTGTGTTAGCTCGTGGCTAGCGGGTTAGTTTGTGGTGTGTTAGCTCGTGGCTAGAGGGTTAGTTTGTGGTGTGTTAGCTCGTGGCTAGAGGGTTAGTTTGGAGTGAGTGTGTTAGCTCGTGGCTAGAGAGTTAGTTTGTAGTGACTGTGTTAGCTTGTGGCTAGAGGGTTAGTTTGGAGTGAGTGTGTTAGCTCGTGGCTAGAGGGTTAGTTTGTAGTGAGTGCGTTAGCTCGTGGCTAGAGGGTTAGTTTGGAGTGAGTGCGTTAGCTCGTGGCTAGAGGGTTAGTTTGGAGTGACTGCGTTAGCTCGTGGCTAGAGGGTTAGTTTGGAGTGAATGTGTTAGCTTGTGGCTAGTGGGTTAGTTTGGAGTGACTGTGTTAGCTCGTGGCTAGAGGGTTAGTTTATAGTGACTGTGTTAGCTCGTGGCTAGAGGGTTAGTTTGTGGTGTGTTAGCTCGTGGCTAGAGGGTTAGTTTGTAGTGAGTGCGTTAGCTCGTGGCTAGCGGGTTAGTTTGGAGTGAGTGCGTTAGCTCGTGGCTAGAGGGTTAGTTTGTAGTGAGTGCGTTAGCTCGTGGCTAGAGGGTTAGTTTGCACTGAGTGCGTTAGCTCGTGGCTAGAGGGTTAGTTTGTGGTGTGTTAGCTCGTGGCTAGTGGGTTAGTTTGTAGTGAATGTGTTAGCTCGTGGCTAGAGGGTTAGTTTGTGGTGTGTTAGCTCGTGGCTAGTGGGTTAGTTTGTAGTGAGTGTGTTAGCTCGTGGCTAGTGGGTTAGTTTGTGGTGTGTTAGCTTGTGGCTAGTGGGTTAGTTTGTGGTGTGTTAGCTCGTGGCTATTGGGTTAGTTTGGAGTGAGTGCGTTAGCTTGTGGCTAGAGGATTAGTTTGGAGTGAGTGTGTTAGCTCGTGGCTAGTGGGTTAGTTTGGAGTGAGTGTGTTAGCTCGTGGCTAGTGGGTTAGTTTGGAGTGAGTGTGTTAGCTCGTGGCTAGAGAGTTAGTTTGGAGTGAGTGTGTTAGATCGTGGCTAGAGAGTTAGTTTGGAGTGTCTGTGTTAGCTCGTGGCTAGAGGGTTAGTTTGGAGTGAGTGTGTTAGCTCGTGGCTAGAGAGTTAGTTTGGAGTGAGTGCGTTAGCTCGTGGCTAGTGGGTTAGTTTGGAGTGAGTGTGTTAGCTCGTGGCTAGAGGGTTAGTTTGGAGTGAGTGCGTTAGCTCGTGGCTAGTGGGTTAGTTTGGAGTGTCTGTGTTAGATCGTGGCTAGAGGGTTAGTTTGTGGTGTGTTAGCTCGTGGCTAGAGGGTTAGTTTGTGGTGTGTTAGCTCGTGGCTAGGTTAGTGTGTTCCCATATGGAAAACATGTCAGGTATTGTTTTAGATGTGAGATACATTCCACCATATGAACAATATCAAAGGCATAGTGAGAATTAAACTGAGCCGTCTTGTGCATTTAGCCAATTTCTGACTTGAGATGACCCTGCTAGAAAAACCAGTACAACTTATGTTGTGTTTTGGATGCTGGTTTAGCTGGTCAGCCTTGAAGACCATGCTGGGTGACCAGCTAAACCAGCATAAGCAGTTTAGAATGCATTTGTTCAGCAGGGTGTGTGAGGGTTACATTAATATTCAGAGAAACAGCCACTAAAACTGCAGCCCTGATGAAAAGGTACGTTTAAAGCATTTCATGACTGCAGCTCTGTGTTTGCAGGAAAGTCTGGAGTACATCTTCCTGATCATATTCACTCTCGAGTGCTTCCTGAAGATAGTGGCGTATGGGCTGCTCTTCCACGCAGACGCCTACCTACGGAACTGCTGGAACATTTTGGACTTTGTCATTGTCACCATGGGGTAAGAAAGGAGGCTCTTAAGGCAGAAACCATAAGTTTCAGGGTGTATTTCCTTTCTGCAAAACAACAACTTTCATCAATTTAAGTCATAAGAAAAAACTTTCATACTTACGACTAACAGTCGGTAGAAAACTCCTCGACTTGGTTCAGTGAGGTACAAATAGCAGATGATTTAGGAAGGTTTGGATGAACTTTTCAGTCTCTTTGGGTCTGACAGTGTGTCTAACATGCTCCCTCTGTGTCTCAGGCTGTTCACCATCGTTGTGGACTTCATCAATAACATCAGTGGGGTAGAAGCTCCAGTGGAGCAGAAGGGCGGAGGCTTCGATATGAAGGCACTGAGGGCTTTCAGAGTGCTGCGGCCACTACGCCTTGTCTCAGGGGTCCCCAGTGAGTCACAGCCACCAAACATCCACTAATGGACATGCACCATCAAACGTCCACCACCAAACATCAGCCACTAACCATCAGCCACTAACCATCAACCACCAAACAGCCACAAATGAACACTTACCATCAAACTACCATCAAACGTAAACTACAAAACATCAGTCACTAACCATCAACCATCAAACATCCACTAACATTCACTGTCAATCATTTGCCACCAACCATCAACCACTAAACATTCAGCATCAAACATCAACCTCTAAACATCCATCAACAACCGTCAACCACTAAACATTCACAAATGAACATTCATCATCAAACTATCATTAAACATCAACAAAGAAAACATCAGCCGTTAACCATCAACCACAAATCACCATCAAGATTCACCATCGAACATCGATCTCTAAACATTCAGCATCAAACATCTCCTCCCAAATATCAGTCAACAGGCATCAACCACCAGCCATTCATCTTCAAATATCCACCATCAAACATCCACCACCAAACATCAGCCACCAACCATTCACTACCTAACATTTGCCACCAAACATCAACCTTTAACCACTAAACATCCATCACCTAATATCCACAACCAATCAACCACACACCAAACATCACCATTAGCCACCAAACACTAAGCATCCATCTACAAACATCAACCATCAGACAGCAACTACCAAGCACTCTCTACCATTCACTACCAAACATCAACCATAAAACATCCATTACCAAACCTCAATCACCACAAACCTACCATCAGTCATCGACCACTAACATCCACTACTAAACACAAACATCCACTACTAAACACATGTACCACCAAACATCAACTACCAAACATAAAGCACCCAACATGTACTGCCAAATATCAACCGACAAACGTCAACCACCAAACATAAAGCACCCAACATGTACTGCCAAATATCAACCGCCAAACGTCAACCACCAAACATAAAGCACCCAACATCTGCTGCAAAATATCAAACACCAAACGTCAACCACCAAACATAAATCACCAAACATAAATCACCCAACATCTACTGCAAAATATCAAACATCAACCACCAAACTTTCACTGCAATTCTGCCTCCTTCAGGTCTGCAAGTGGTGATGAGCTCCATCCTGAAGTCCATGCTGCCGCTGTTCCACATCTGCTTGCTGGTCTTCTTCATGGTCACCATCTACGCCATCATTGGTCTGGAACTCTTCAAATGCAAGATGCACAAAACCTGTTACTACACTGGAACAGGTAACGTTTCTCACTGAGCTGGAAGAGAAAACAAAATAAAATGCTGATACATTATATACGTTCACATTTTAGCTGGTACAGCTACCGTATCATACTTTAGGCAACATATCACATTTTGAATCAGTTTGTCAGTAATCTGTACCACAATACAAGTGACACTGTCTGTGCTGCAGAGATCATCTCCACGGTGGAGAATGAGAAGGCGTCTCCGTGTGCCGAGGCTGGAAATGGGCGTCGCTGCACTGTGAACGGTACCATGTGCAGGCCGGGCTGGCCGGGGCCCAATAACGGCATAACGCACTTCGATAACCTTGGCTTCTCCATGCTGACTGTGTACCAGTGCATCACCACGCAGGGCTGGACCGACGTCCTCTACTGGGTCTGTGTCCCATCAGCATTACTTACACAGCACATTCTGTAAATTTGTACAGCTTTACACACTATAAAACATATGGAACCTATTCTTGGGTTATAGACACGTGTAGCAAAACTTTGGGCCTGCTGACGGACTCTGGCCATTTAAGGGGTTAAATTAATAAAGTAGAAGTAAAGATTATCAGGTTATTTCATAATCATGGGCCTAATACACTAAAAGCACAGCTGTGTTGTGTTGATAGTGTTGTCTCTGTGGAACTATTATTATCACTAATATTTTTTATTATTATTGTAAAGTAAAATGAAAGATGTTATGAAACTGATAAACTAAATTCTTAAAAAATGAAGCCAAACTGAAACAGTGTGCTTTTAGCCCAGGTTTAAACAAACCTAGCTGTGCTTAGACAAACATACTTTTCATGAACCTGTGATAATGATTTGTGTGTGTGTGTAGGTTAATGATGCTGTCGGGATGGAGTGGCCGTGGCTCTACTTCGTGACTCTGATTCTTCTGGGCTCCTTCTTCATTTTAAATCTGGTTCTAGGCGTCCTCTGTGGGTCAGTGTCCAACACCAAACCTTCTAAAGGCTCATTTTTTCAATATGGAAATGCAGCCACGTCTCTCCCACCTGCAGAGTGAAACAGAACAGCCCAGCGTTCACTCAAAACCCCCCAGCAGCTGAACGTATTTATTAAGATAATCAAACACATCTTATATATAAACGAATATCACTCATGAACACTCTTACAGTTCTTGTCTAAACATTTTAACTGACATTAAACATGTAACTGCACCACAACACACCAACATCTGGAGCACTCCTGCTCAAACACTGCATGATAACAGATTCACAGAGACGTATACCTGGGCGCTCAGTCTGAGTGTGCGGTGGTGATGATGTTGTGTGTATCAGTGTGTTTGTGCTCCTGTCCTGCGCAGTGAGTTCACTAAAGAGCGAGAGAAGAGCTCCCGCAGTGGAGAATATCAGAAGCTTCGTGAGAGGCAGCAGCTGGATGAGGATCTGAAGGGCTATATGGAGTGGATCGCACAGGCCGAGGTCATGGACAACGACCAGGACAGACAAGGTAACACTGACCAAAGCAGAGGAATCTGTCTCTGAGTCATTCCAAACACTAAAATATATTTTAGAATATGTTGCCATATGAACCCAATATATTTTAAAATACATTTATTTTAAAATGCATGGGGAAATATTACACACAGACAAAAATAACTGTGTGTAAATGTGTTTGTCAAATCCATTTAAAAATGTATGAAAATATCCAAAATCTTGTCTGATGCCCTTCACTGTCTGATACCTTTAGAGATGAATTTGTGTTCCAGTATCTTCATTTTAAATCTGATCTAATGATCCTTTAACAGGACAGAAGCGAGTGTTGTGGGTATTGATACTCTGTGAAAATGCAGTTATGATCTGATATCTTGTTTATGTGAAATACATTGTGTGTGAGAGTCTGACTGCAGACGTACGTGGTTAATGTAAAGTACAGTGCAGATCACAGTCAGTACGTTTAGTTACATCGTAACCTTCATTACACACAGCTGAACACAGATAATAATAAATGCTGATAAAGCATTTTAAATATAAATTTAACAAATACATTTTTTGCCATTTTCATACATTGCAAAACTAAATCTGATAAATACACATGGAATATATTATTTTTCCATATCGGCAGAAAAATGAATTGAAATAATTTAATAATTTCAGTAAATTTCACTCTGGACGATGTTACTGATGAGCTGCTGTGCCTGTGTGTCCTTCAGGTCTGTTGCCGCTGCAGGAAGGAGGCTCAGACACGGAGAGTCTGTACGAGCTGGAGGGACTGAACCGCCTCATGTACTACGTGTAAGAAACAAAACCCCAGAACGATCGAGTCCAAAACTCTGGGGAACCTCAGCTCTGCACCGCTCAGAGTTCACACTTCTCTAACACAGCTGGTTCTCATGCATGAGGAGCTCAGGAGTTCAGTCAGGGCTGCTAACTGAGCTTAGTTCCAACACAAATCCACAAATCAAGATTAATAAATATAAATATACACAATATGGCCAAAAGTATGTGGATACTACACATCACACTCATATGAGCTTGTTGGACGTCCCATTTTGCCCCTATTTGTGGCTCTAACTGCCTCCACTCTTCTGGGAAGCTTTCTACAAGATTTTGGAGAGTGTCTGTGGGAATTTGTGTCCAGTCAAAAGAGCATTTGTGAGGTCAGACACTGATGTTGGACGAGAGGGTCTGGCTCATAATCTCTGTTCCAGTTCATTTCAAAGGTGTTCAGTGTGGTCAGGACTCTGTGAGGCCACTGGAGTTCCTCCACACCAAACAGGTCACTCCATGTCTTTATGGAGCTGCTTTGAGCACAGGGGTCTCAGTCACGCTGGAACAGGAAAGGCTCTTCCCCAAACTGCTGACACAAAGCTGGAAGCAGATAACTGAGTAAATTGTCTTTGTGCTGTAGCATCAACATCACCCTTCACTGGAACTGAGGAGCCCAAACCCTGAAAAACAGCCCAGCCCATCATCTCTCCTCCACCAAACTGTACTGTTGGCTCTGCATTCCGGTAGGTAACGTTCTCCTGACATCCACCAAACCCAGATTCATCATCAGACTGACAGATAGAGAAGCTGATTCATCAGTCAGAGAACACGGTTCCACTGCTCCAGAGTCCAGTGGCGACGCTTTACACCCCTCCAGCCGACACTTGGCATTACGCATAGTGATCTTAGGCTTCTGTGCAGCTGTTCAGCCATGGAGACCCATTTCATAAAGATCCTGACACTCAGTTCTTGTGCTGATGTTGCTTCCAGAGGCAGTTTGGAACTCTGTGATGACTGATGCAACAGAGGACAGGCGATTTTTACTCCCTGCTCTGTGAGTTTGTGTGGTCTACCGCTTCGTGGCTGACCTGTTTCATTTTCCAATAATAGCACTTATAGTGGCAGATCTAGCAGAGCAGAAGTTTAACAAACTGATTTGTGGTCAAAGGTGGCATCCTGTAACAGTGCCATGTTTAAAGTCACTGAGCTCTTCAGTGCGACCCTCTACTGCCAGTGTTTGTCTATGGAGACTGTGTTGCTGTGTGCTTGATGTTGAAACACCTGAACTCAATAATTTGGAAGGGTGTCCACTTACTTTTGGCCACATAGTGCATTCATGAAGAGTTTCATTCCAAAATGATGCGTATCTATTTGTAACAACATCAGATATAAAGAGTTTTAGAAAAGAAAACGTTAATGGAGAAAACATTTTAATGTCTGTAATAAAGGTGTTATTGGTATTAATCATAATATAGCAATAATGTTTCACTCCCAACAACAAATATCATGACAGAACATTTTTGAAAGTGGTCCCTAATTCGTTCGCTTGTGGATGTTTTGCCGATAAATAAAATGCAAAAAATGATGATAGAAAATTCATTTTCCAAATAAATAATATAAATGGAATAAAGAATGACTGATCAGGTGTTTCTGTTTCCAGTGAAATAAAACATATCGATTAATGAACATTTCCTGAGTCGTTACAACCAATCTTATCAATCCATTTCCAACTTATCGCCCATCAGAACCAGTCAGGACTCCACCATGTGTTTCATCCACTGGTCACAGATTCAGACCTTCACATCAGTAATATCTCAGTTTCGGTGACTCTACTTTTATTGGCCTGTATGATTTTTAATGTACTGTCCAAACTGTCTGTGTCCTCCTCAGGCGTCACGCCCGGCGCTGGAACCGGTTCTTCAGGAGGAAGTGTCGTGTGTGGGTGAAGTCGAAACTCTTCTACTGGCTGGTGTTTCTGCTGGTGTTCTTCAACACACTCGTCATCGCCACAGAGCACCACATGCAGTCCCAGTCGCTCACAGACTTCCAAGGTCAGACAGCACAGACCAGCAGTTATCAAACTCTGGATATATATATATATCTATATACTATAGTTAACTAACTTAATGAGAAACCTGCATGACCGAGTCAGGCTCACAATACGAGCTGAGAACAATAACTGGCCACTCAGAATCACACCAAGACTTCTTGCATCTTCAGACTGAACAATCACAGAGTTCTCGAGATCATGATGAGGACCGGTAGTTGCAGGGATGAGTAGCATCCATGAAGAGATGTCAGTCAGACATGCCGAGATGCAACTGGAAACCTGGGTATCAGAAGGTGGAAAGGGAAGCATTAGTTGTAGAAGAGTGTCTTCAGCATAGCAGTGGTAAGAGAAACCATGAGAGGATATTACATCACCAAAAGAACGAGTGTAAAGTGAAAAGAGAAGAGGACCCAGCACCGAGCCTTGTGGGACACCAAAGTTGGATTGTGATGTTGATTTATTGTTTATGGTTTTCCTGTTTGTGTCCACAGAGAGCGCGAATAAAGCGCTGCTGTCGCTGTTTGCGGTGGAGATGGTGCTGAAGATGTACGCTCTGGGGCTGCCGTCGTACTTCATGTCTCTGTTTAACCGTTTCGACTGCTTCGTGGTCTCTGTGGGGATTCTGGAGCTGATCCTCGTCCACATGGGCGTCATGTCCGCCATGGGCATCTCCGTCATGCGCTGCATTCGCCTTCTGCGCCTCATCAAAGTCACCAAGTACACACTCCACTTCGTTTTATAATTTCAGCTTCTATACAGATTTTTAATTGGATGTTCTGGTCCACCTTAAATGACGTTACATTTTGGCACCTCATTTGTGGTGGAACCCAAATTTTAATAAACAGCTGATGGAAAAGAACTGAATATACCATTCCACCTTAAATAATGCAGCTGTTACAATTTGGTGCCTCATTAAGGTGGAACCAAAAATAAGAGGGTAGCAAATGATTACTGAATTTTCTGTTTCTCTCTAAATGGTGCAGCTTTACATTTAAGACAGAATGAAAAATTCGAACAAGAAGCCACTTTCAGCCTCGTAGTTTCTGTGCTGACAGATGCTGGAGGTTCTAAGAGGTTCCACTGCAGTTCTATAAGTAACTCAATACTTAAGTAGCTTTCTGAGCTGCTGCCTTTTCTATATCAGTTGAACACAGCCGCTGATCTTTACACTGTGGGACAATTTCAGGATGATTGAATCAAAAGAAAAGCTCCAAAATGACTAAAGTCTCTTTACATTAACTTACACTGAAAGTTAAGAACGTTTTAACTCCTCCTGTGAAGGAGATAAATGTATTTTATGCTTCCATTGTGCCATTTTATATTCAAATTAGCCCCTAAATTAAAATATATGCATAAAAATGTATACCGAATGTACAGAGAGTGGAGGTGTAATGATGCATTGGTGCTTTGACACCAGATCACTGATTCTGTAATGTTCAAATTTATTATAATGGAGTATCATTATATTCAATAAAGTTCATGTGGAATTTAAAAAATCTGTTTTTTTTAACGTAAATAGTGCATGAAGGTCTGGTGGGTCTCGCTGCTGAGTGTCTCTGTGTCTCAGGTACTGGACGTCTCTCAGTAACCTGGTGGCGTCTCTGCTGAACTCGGTCCGCTCCATCGCCTCCCTCCTCCTCCTCCTCTTCCTCTTCATCGTTATCTTCGCTCTGCTCGGGATGCAGGTGTTCGGAGGGAAATTTAACTTCACCGATCAGAACGTGCGGCGGAGCAACTTCGACAACTTCCCCCAGGCCCTCATCACCGTCTTCCAGGTACCGAGGCGCTGAGAGAAACCAGGGATTCAGCAGCTTCTCATTGGAACTTTACGCTCCACCTTAAAAATGATGCAGCCATTACATTTTCATGCCTTATTTGAGGGTTAGGGTTAGGGTTAGCTGGTGAATTAGCATTAAATAGTGCAGCTGTAACATTCTGGCGTCTCATTTAAGGTGGAATGAAAATTCGAAAAAGAAGCTGGTGATTAACTACTGAATTTTCTGTTCCTAGTTTGCTAGTGTATTCAAACTTTAGCTCCGCCTTAAATGGGGTGCCAGAATGTCACAGCTGCACCATTTAAGGTGGAGCTAAAGTTTGAATACACTAGCAAACTAGGACACTGCATTCTGTGCAGCACATAACAGCAGCACCATTTAAGGTGGAACGAATAATTCAGTACTCTCTGTCTCTCTCTTTCTCTCTCTCTCTGTATCTGTCTCTCTCTCTCTCTCTCTGTCTCTCTCTCTCTCTCTCTCTCTCTCTGTCTCTCTCTCTCTCTCTCTCTCTCTCTGTCTCTCTCTCTCTCTCTCTGTCTCTCTCTCTCTGTCTCTCTCTTTCTCTCTCTCTCTCTCTCTGTAGATTCTAACAGGTGAAGACTGGAACAGTGTGATGTATGATGGTATAATGGCTCATGGTGGTCCCGTCATGCCGGGCATCCTCGTCAGCATCTACTTCATCATCCTCTTCGTCTGTGGGAACTGTATCCTTCACACCTGCCTGTGTGGATGTGTGTTTGTTCACAACGGCGTCAGAGTCTGTCTGTTTAAAACGTAAACACACATCGTAGCTGTTCATCAGCGTTCCACCTGCCAGAAATCATCATATACATTTGCTTTGTGGTTTAGGTTTCAATTTAATGCCCCCTAGTGGCCACTCCACCAGTGTAATGAAGACCAACTCAGACATTTTTAACTAATATTATAAAATAAAATATTGTTTTCTTGTAATTCTGTTATCAGATGAACTAGAACTCTGTTGTCTGTCTGTGTGTGAAGTGTTGAGCTGCTAGTGAGCAATGGTGGGTGAAAAACTATTCACACCTCTCCACAAAGTCGGCCATGCTAAGATAAAACGGACAACTGCAGCTTTCAGCATAACACGCAATCCTGCTCACCTGACACAATAAACACACAGCATTTACACAAAAACACACACAGTATTTAAATAAACACACACACAGCCTTTAAACACAATAAACACACAGCATTTAAATAAACACACACACAGCCTTTAAACACAATAAACACACAGCCTTTAAACACAATAAACACACAGCATTTAAATAAACACACACACAGCCTTTAAACACAATAAACACACAGCCTTTAAACACAATAAACACACAGCATTTACACAAAAACACACACAGCATTTAAATAAACACACACACAGCCTTTAAACACAATAAACACACAGCATTTAAATAAACACACACACAGCCTTTAAACACAATAAACACACAGCCTTTAAACACAATAAACACACAGCATTTAAATAAACACACACACAGCCTTTAAACACAATAAACACACAGCCTTTAAACACAATAAACACACAGCATTTACACAAAAACACACACAGCATTTAAATAAACACACACACAGCCTTTAAACACAATAAACACACAGCATTTAAATAAACACACACACAGCCTTTAAACACAATAAACACACAGCCTTTAAACACAATAAACACACAGCATTTAAACACAATAAACACACAGCCTTTAAACACAATAAACACACAGCATTTAAACACAATAAACACACAGCCTTTAAATAAACACACACACAGCCTTTAAACACAATAAACACACAGCATTTACACAAAAACACACACAGCATTTAAATAAACACACACACAGCCTTTAAACACAATAAACACACAGCATTTAAACACAATAAACACACAGCCGTTAAACACAATAAACACACAGCCTTTAAACACAATAAACACACAACCTTTAAACACAATAAACACACAGCCTTTAAACACAATAAACACACACAGCCTTTAAACACAATAAACACACAGCCGTTAAACACAATAACCACACAGCCTTTAAACACAATAAACACACAGCCTTTAAACACAATAAACACACACAGCACTTAAACACAATAAACACACAGCATTTAAACACAATAAACACACAGCCGTTAAACACAATAAACACACACAGCCTTTAAACACAATAAACACACAGCATTTAAACACAATAAACACACAGCCGTTAAACACAATAAACACACAGCCTTTAAACACAATAAACACACAGCCTTTAAACACAATAAACACACAGCCTTTAAACACAATAAACACACAGCCGTTAAACACAATAACCACACAGCCTTTAAACACAATAAACACACACAGCACTTAAACACAATAAACACACAGCTGTTAAACACAATAAACACACAGCCTTTAAACACAATAAACACACAGCCTTTAAACACAATAACCACACAGCATTTAAACACAATAAACACACAGCCTTTAAACACAATAAACACACAGCCTTTAAACACAATAAACACACAGCATTTAAACACAATAAACACACAGCATTTAAACACAATAAACACACAGCCGTTAAACACAATAAACACACAGCCTTTAAACACAATAAACACACAGCCTTTAAACACAATAAACACACAGCATTTAAACACAATAAACACACAGCCTTTAAACACAATAAACACACAGCATTTAAACACAATAAACACACAGCCGTTAAACACAATAAACACACAGCCTTTAAACACAATAACCACACAGCATTTAAACACAATAAACACACAGCCTTTAAACACAATAACCACACAGCATTTAAACACAATAAACACACAGCCTTTAAACACAATAAACACACAGCATTTAAACACAATAAACACACAGCCTTTAAACACAATAAACACACAGCCTTTAAACACAATAAACACACAGCCTTTAAACACAATAACCACACAGCCTTTAAACACAATAAACACACAGCCTTTAAACACAATAAACACACAGCATTTACACACAATAAACACACACAGCATTTAAACACAATAACCACACAGCCTTTAAACACAATAAACACACAGCATTTACACACAATAAACACACAGCCTTTAAACACAATAACCACACAGCCTTTAAACACAATAAACACACAGCCTTTAAACACAATAAACACACAGCATTTACACACAATAAACACACAGCCTTTAAACACAATAAACACACAGCCTTTAAACACAATAACCACACAGCCTTTAAACACAATAAACACACAGCCTTTAAACACAATAAACACACAGCATTTACACACAATAAACACACACAGCATTTAAACACAATAACCACACAGCCTTTAAACACAATAAACACACAGCCTTTAAACACAATAACCACACAGCCTTTAAACACAATAAACACACAGCATTTACACACAATAAACACACAGCCTTTAAACACAATAACCACACAGCCTTTAAACACAATAACCACACAGCCTTTAAACACAATAACCACACAGCCTTTAAACACAATAAACACACAGCCTTTAAACACAATAACCACACAGCCTTTAAACACAATAAACACACAGCATTTACACACAATAAACACACAGCCTTTAAACACAATAAACACACAGCCTTTACACACAATAAACACACACAGCATTTACACACAATAAACACACACAGCATTTAAACACAATAAACACACAGCCTTTAAACACAATAAACACACAGCATTTAAACACAATAAACACACACAGCATTTAAATAAACACACACACAGCCTTTAAACACAATAACCACACAGCATTTACACACAATAAACACACAGCATTTACACACAATAAACACACAGCGTTTACACACAATAAACACCTGCTGGTTCACACAGACCAATATCCAGTTCAGTTCGTTTCAGATGTATAAATGTATGTTGTTTGTCTGTCAGTGTTTTCTGAGCTGTGTGCCGCAGACATCCTGCTGAACGTGTTTCTGGCCATCGCGGTGGACAACCTGGCCGAGGCCGAGAGTCTGACCTCAGCGCAGAAAGAGAAAGCAGAGGAGAAAAAACGCAAAAAGCTGCTCAGGTGTGGAACAAATGTCGAAGGTCAAATCTGTCTCTGATTTGTAGGACCGTTCTGCTACTGACCCGCCTGACTCTGCTGTCTGAAGCTCAGCTCATCTGTCTCATTCTACTATCTGATGCAGAACTAACTTGACTGATCCTGCTGTCTGATGCAGAGCTAGCCTGTCTGATGCTAAGCTAACCTATCTGATTGTGCTGTCTGATTTAGAACTCATGCTAACTTGACTGATCCTGCTGTCTGATGCTAATAAACTGTCTAATGTCTGATAAACTGTCAGATTCTGTTGGATCATAAGCCAATATGTCTGATTTTTCTGTATGCTAAAATAATCTTACTAATGCTAAGCTGATCTGTCCAAAGCTAGGCTAACCTGTCTGATCCTGCTGTCTGTTGCAGAGCTAACCTGTCTGATAAAGGAGATGAGGACAAGTCCACACTGGCTAAGAAACTGGCGGAGCAGAGAGCAAAGACTGAAGGAATCCCGACAACAGCGAAGGTCAGAGGTCACACATATCTCACTGTAACATCTGCCTAATAAAGATCAGAGATAATGATCACTTCACCCTCTACACCTTCGCACGAATATCACTCTGAGTAACGCAGGACCGCATGTCTCCTTTGAGCAGCTGAAGGTGGACGAGTTTGAATCCAATGTTAACGAGATCAAGGATCCTTTCCCACCTGCTGATTTTCCAGGTGAGCAGCTGCTGCATGTAACCTACGTTTAGAGATATTATTGTTTCACAGTTACATGATTAACTAAAGGTGATACAGAACGTAAATAAAGAGTTACAGCTACACATACGAGCGTGTAGTTTGCTGTATCTGGCCGTTCGAAGGCGGTTGGAGATGTAGAGGCTTTTGGTTCTATGGCATTTATCTACTCATAGAGTTCTCTACTATCTTTGTACATCATACACTTTCCAGGTGACGATGAGGAGGAGGAGCCAGAGATCCCCACCAGTCCTCGGCCTCGGCCAATGGCAGACCTGCAGCTCAAGGAGACGGTGGTGCCCATGCCTGAGGCCAGCTCCTTCTTCATCTTTGGCCCACAAAACAAGTCAGTGTGGACATTTAGTCACAGTGCTAGTGCTCAGTACTGCAGTGAATAAAATCATATTTCATAAAGCGATACTGTACCAGGAGTGGAATGATTAGTCAACCAAGCTATTGAATGAAAAAAAGTAAAAAAATGTTGATTAATTAAAGGTTCTATAATGTTCATATGATCCACACAGTCACTCTGACAGACTGTAATACACTACAGGAAGTGTAGGGGGCGATATGGCTTCTACTGTTTCATTTAAAAAGCCTCTATAATGTTCATATGATCCACACAGTCACACTGACAGACTGTAATACACTACAGGAAGTGTAGGGGGCGATATGGCTTCTACTGTTTCATTTAAAAAGCTCTATAATGTTCATATGATCCACACAGTCACACTGACAGACTGTAATACACTACAGGAAGTGTAGGGGGCGATATGGCTTCTACTGTTTCATTTAAAAAGCTCTATAATGTTCATATGATCCACACAGTCACTCTGACAGACTGTAATACACTACAGGAAGTGTAGGGGGCGATATGGCTTCTACTGTTTCATTTAAAAAGCCTCTATAATGTTCATGTGATCCACACAGTCACTCTGACAGACTGTAATACACTACAGGAAGTGTAGGGGGCGATATGGCTTCTACTGTTTCATTTAAAAAGCCTCTACAATGTTCATGTGATCCACACAGTCACTCTGACAGACTGTAATACACTACAGGAAGTGTAGGGGGCGATATGGCTTCTACTGTTTCATTTAAAAAGCCTCTACAATGTTCATATGATCCACACCGTCACTCTGACAGACTGTAATACACTACAGGAAGTGTAGGGGGCGATATGGCTTCTACTGTTTCATTTAAAAAGCCTCTATAATGTTCATATGATCCACACAGTCACTCTGACAGACTGTAATACACTACAGGAAGTGTAGGGGGCGATATGGCTTCTACTGTTTCATTTAAAAAGCTCTATAATGTTCATATGATCCACACAGTCACTCTGACAGACTGTAATACTCTACAGGAAGTGTAGGGGGCGATATGGCTTCTACTGTTTCATTTAAAAAGCCTCTATAATGTTCATATGATCCACACTATTGGTTAAAATTTGTTTAGACGTGTTTTTGCAGCTGATCTGCTCTCAGCTCTCTTTTCTGTGAGGAATTCTGTTTTTTATTTAATCCTATTTTCTCTCCAGGTTCCGTAAGCTGTGCCACCGGATCATCAACGCCACCACCTTCACTAACATCATCCTCCTCTTCATCCTGCTGAGTAGCATCTCTCTGGCTGCTGAGGACCCCATAGACCCCATGAGCTTCAGAAACCAGGTACACCTGTACCAGCTCAGAGAGCTCAGTGAGAAACACCTGAGAAAGATGAAAGAACCTAATGATGTCTGTTCACCGCAGCATTTCATAAAGACAAACCTGAGACGACTTTTTAACTAACCGATAAATGTAAATGATAAGTTTCCTCTCTTAACCCAGACATAGTCACCCAGGACGTTGGAGCTACAAGGCTAATGTAGCTAACAAGTAATAGAAGATTATCCCCTTCCGATTAGCTTTGTGCTAACTGAATATCTAAATCATCAACCGTGTAGAACTGTTCAGTAATCTATAATAGACTCGTTTATCTGGTTTATGACACATGGACATAAACATGGACATACAGTGTGTCATTCATACTTCAGACACTAAATATGCCATGATGGACTGACTACCTTTGGGGGAGGTGGAGGGATTGTAAGAAGTTGATTAACTGTTGCGTTAAATTTAATAACATGACAATAATGATCTCTCGGGTTGGTGGTGTGTTTTTATCTGTAGGTTCTGGCTTACGCAGATATCGTCTTCACATCCGTCTTCACAGCTGAGATTGTGCTGAAGGTAGCACTGTCACACCTGTCACAACTGTAACACATGGAACACCTGCAACACTTGTAACAGCTATAACTTGTATTACGTGTAACACTTGTAGCAGCTGTAACAATTGTAACCTGTAACAGCGGAAACACTGGTAATAACTACAACATTTTAAACACCTGTGACAACTGTAATAGTTGTAACACCTGTAACCTGTAACTTGTGACACTTGTAACTGTTGTAACGTTGTTACTTGTAACACTTGTAGTAGATGTAACCTATAACACCTCTAACAGCTGTAGCACCTGTAAATCTGTAATAGCTATATAACCAATAACATATATACAGATGAGATTGTGCTGAATAGTAAAACTGCAACACTCGTAGAACATGTAGCACATGTAACGCCTGTAATACCTGTAACAGTTGTAACTGATAACAGCTCTATAAGCTGTATAACTTGTAACATCTGTAACAGCTATGTCACCTATAACACCTGTAACACCTGCAATGCTTGTAACATCTGTGATGGTTATGAAAAGCTGTAACACCTGTTAGAGCTGTAGCAGCTTTTCCCTGAGCTTGTTTGTATGTTTTCAGTTTGTTTGACTCTGTTTTTGTTCCAGATGACCACATACGGAGCTTTCTTACACAAAGGCTCCTTCTGCCGAAACTCCTTCAACATCCTGGACCTGATAGTGGTCGGAGTCTCTCTGCTGTCGATGGGAATGGAGTGAGTTACCCATTCACTTTTAGTCTGCTGCTGTTTTGAATTGCTATAGTAATAATAATAATAATAATAATAATACTAATAATAATAATTTTTATCAAAATTGCGCCTTTTACAAAATCATGTTCTCCTCTGGTTCTCTGCAGGTCCAGCGCTATCTCTGTGGTGAAGATTCTCCGAGTGCTGAGGGTGCTGAGGCCTTTACGAGCCATAAACAGAGCCAAAGGACTGAAGGTCAGTTACAGCGCTGATCTACAGTCAGTACACTCTGGTCACATACTAAAATCATTAAAGCGATAGTTCGGCCAAATCTCGAATACCCACCAGTTTTCCCACCTCATCCCAAACATAGTTAGTCAGCCAGGACATGTTTAGTGTCTGAAGTTTGCTTCTTCACTTTTAGCACTGGAGCTACGAGGCTAATGTAGCTAACTTCAAGGAAGCTAATACCCCACCAATTAGCATCATGCTAACTGCATGACCAAATTATCAACACTGATTTTTGGCGAAGCCGTCTATAGTATCACAGGCTGATGCTGTGTTCTGTCTCCTGTGCCTCAGCACGTGGTCCAGTGCGTGTTTGTGGCCATTAAAACCATCGGGAACATCGTGCTGGTGACCATGCTGCTGGACTTCATGTTCGCCTGCATAGGAGTCCAGCTCTTCAAGGTAAGAAACTCCAAAGATCAAAGCAGAGGAGAGTTTGAGAGAGATCATCGTTCATTTAAGCAGAAGAACACTGGAGGCGGTGCATTGTGGTGAACATCATCACGGCTGTGACTGAGTCGCAGTAGATCACTGTAACTCACCACCTCAGTGTTCAGTGTTTTTATATAACAGTTCTACACAGTCATGAAAAAACCCAGAACATTGTTTCAAATATATGTTCACTATATGGGCCGTTTCTTCACCATAAAGTAAAGTAGTCCCACCACAGACCTACAGAGTAAAGTGACCATTTCTAGCCGATTAGCAACAGGAAGTCAGCAGAATGAGTTATGAGTTATTTGAGCAGCTCCGTTTAGCCGCTTCTTAACCAGCTTTACTGTGAGTTGTTCTGTTTCGCAGGGTAAATTTTACAGATGCACAGACCCACTGAAGATGACTGAGAAAGAGTGCAGGTACGATTTTTCCTTCTGTTTAATATTTTAGAGGGTCAGTTATTTTCTGTCTGTGGCATCTGGGTGGATTCAGCTGAGCTGCTCTCCCATTGGTCAGGACTTCAGGAGCTGGACTGAAGTTCTTACATGTCAGATTATCCCACCAACATATTAAGGAAGCAAATCAACCAATTATGCTCATTCTAGTCCTTCTGTAGGTTCTAGGTGTGTCGCTGACTGTGAATATGAGTCGTACTCTAAGCAGGAGCAGCTCTATGCAGGACTCTTTACTGAGAGAGTGACTGTAACACTGATACACACAAACTCAGATATATGATAATGACTGTTACAAGACTCAGATAAAACTAGCTTTTTGTCTGTTTATTCAGGCAAAAAATGTGCATCAGCATTAGCTTAGCACTAAACTACTATTAGGGAAGTCGTTATGGGCAGAATGTAATGTAAAAAATGGGTGGTATGTATGTGTGTATGTACATTCACTGCACAGATGGGTTAAATGCGGAGGTCAAATTCCTCTGTGTGAAACTAGCCTTATTTTATAAGTGGGTGTTTTGACAATTATAGGCCAAACAGGACAGAACAGAAGGTCTAACACTGATAGTCTTGGTTCACCAAAGGCACTAAAACTCATCACTGTACAAGGCAGGTAAAGCTTAGTTCATGTAGAGTAAATAAGTAAACGTAAGTAGAAAAAGGCTCAGAAAACTGCATTATACATTGAAAATTCAGCATTCGTTAGAATATCTAAACATAAGATGGAAGAAAGACTGAACAGCCTGTTCTGTCACTAAGCAGTGTGAAGGGCTGAGTTTGTATAGTGGTCTGAATGAGTCCGTTATGAAGAACAGGTGTAAGAGGCTAAGAAGGAGGAGTCAGGGGCGGAGCCGAGTGCTGGAGCGTATGAATGGGTGTGGCCGATTGTCTGATTGTAAGTATATTTCTCTGAGAACTCGACCTCCGTAATGTTAAACTGCTCTGCGTGGTTCTCAGGGGAACCTACATCCACTATCAGGAGAACGCGCTGCATGAGATGGAGATCTGCCAGCGACTGTGGATCAACAGTGACTTCAACTTCGACAACATTCTGAACGGCATGCTGGCACTTTTCACTGTGTCCACCTTCGAGGGCTGGCCCAAGTAATCACCCATTCACCATCACCCATTCACCATCACCCATTCACCATCACCCATTCATCATCACTTGTTCACTATCTCCTGTCCATCATCACCCATTCACATCACCTATTTATCACTCATTCACCATCAATCCTTCATCACCCATTCATCATCACTCATTTACCGTCACCCATTCACTGTCACCCATTCATCAACCATGCATAATCACTAATTCATCTTCAACCATTCATCACCTATTCACCATCACCCATTCATCACCCATTCACAATCGCTCATTCAACATCACCCATTCACCATCACCCATTCATCACCCATTCATCACACAATCACCATCATGTATTTACCTTCACTTGATCACGGTTATCATCACTGCATGATTTCTATCTCTATTCTGCACAAATTAATATATCTACAGTTTATTATACAGACAGTCTTTCTAATGTTAAAACTGCTGTTGAACCTCAGTGTAACGCAGTAAACCCTCTGTTCAATCTCGGTTCGGATTTTTTGGGTATAAACATGTTGACTTTGCAGTAACTCCATAGTCTGCGTTTGTAGGCTGCTGTACACGGCCATAGACTCCAACATGGAGAACAGGGGCCCTGTGTACAACAACCGCACAGAGATCTCCATCTTCTTCATCGTCTACCTCATCCTCATCGCCTTCTTCATGATGAACATCTTCGTCGGCTTCGTCATCGTCACCTTCCAGGAGCAGGGAGAGCAGGAGTACAAAAACTGTGAACTGGACAAGAATCAGGTAAATCACCTGTTCACTTACACCTCACCACTCACTCTGCTCAGGTACACCACTCACCAAGTACACCCTTCACCTCAAGTACAAGTACTCAAGTACTCCTTTCACCTGCCCAGGTACATGACCACCTGCTCAGATATACCAAATACCTGCTCAGGCACGCCACTTACCTGCAAAGTTCACCACTTTCTTACTTATTACCATTCACCTACCCAGGTACACCACACACCTATTCAGGTACAACACACCTGCTCAGGTACACCACCCATCTGCTCAGGTACACCAATAAGCTACTTAGCTGCACCATTAACCTACCCAAGTATACCACTCACCCTGCTCAGGTACACCTCACACCTATTCAGGTACACTACTCAACCACTCAGATACAACACACACCTGATTAGGTACAACACGCAACTACTTAGCTACACCTGTGTGTGTGTGTGTGTTGTGTCTCTGCAGCGTCAGTGTGTGCAGTACGCTCTGAAGGCCCGCCCCCTCCGCTGCTACATTCCCAAAAACCCCTACCAGTACCAGGTGTGGTACATCGTCACCTCCTGCTACTTCGAATACCTGATGTTTCTCCTCATCATGCTGAACACAATGTGCCTGGGCATGCAGGTACCTCCGCAACACTCTCCGCAAATACACTGCCATGCTAAAGTTTTGATTTTTTAAAATATAAAATATAAATATAAAAAAGTTTAAACAATAAAAAGGATTTCAGATTCCATGTTGCCAAAACAATTTCACTGCATTTTGCAAATGATAAAATATTTTATAAAACATCCAAACATTTATAAGTATGTATAAGTATTATTGTATATACGGTAATAAAGCAACTTGCAAATGAGTATCTGCTGTATCATCCCTCTATGTTCTATTCTATTCTGTTCTATTCTGTTCTATTCTGTTCTGTTCTCTTGCAGCACTGTAATCAGTCAGAGCACATCACTCACCTGTCCGACATGCTGAACGTGATCTTCACAGTGCTTTTCACTGTGGAGATGATCCTCAAACTCGGCGCCTTTAAAGCCAAGGTGAGCTTTTACCTCATTAACTACATTACCCATGATGCAAAAGTGACCATGTATTGTACTGCATTATCCAAAATGCCATAGCCAAGGTGACGTCATATGCTGTCATTTACTTAAATAACTACACTGCCCTTGATGTGCACTGATGTCACTGATTCTCTGTCTCTCTCTCTCTCTCTCTCTCTTCTCTCTCCTCTCTCTCTCCTCTCTTCTCTCTCTCCTCTCTCTCTCTCCTCTCTCTCCTCTCTCTCTCTCCCTCCTCTCTCTCTCTCAGGGCTATTTTGGGGACCCCTGGAACGTGTTTGATTTCGTCATCGTTGTGGGCAGCATTGTTGATGTTATTCTTAGTGAGATTGATGTAAGTTTCCTCCCTGAGCCTCTCAGAACTGACCTTCTGTATTAAAGCGATAGTTCAGATTTACCGTTTAGTCCATCCACTGATCCCCTGATCAGCCAAGACACAAAACCACGAGGACAAGATTGAAAAAAACAGAATCAGAATCAGAATCAGAATTAGAATTAGAACCACACTGAACAGACCAGACAATCACACAGACTGTTAGAAGTATTAAACTAAGAGACAAATAATATAATAGAGTGCAATAAATAGAATGAAGAATAAAGAGCTGATGTGAAAGGAGCTAAAGAGATATGTGAATATCTGTACATACGCAGGTCTGAGTAGACATATAATATAATATAATATAATATAATATAACATAATAAACCACGATTATATGAACATGTGTTGAAAAAAAGAACATTTGTACAGTTGTGCAAATAATCCCAATGCTACAGAGGAGTTTTACTGTAGTACAGTAAGGGAGATTTGAGATTTCTCTTTAAAATTAAATTGCAGTTAAAAAAACCTGAGAGAAGTCTGTGATGATTTAGACATGCAGTTAGCATCATGCTAATCGGTGGGGTATAAGCTTCCATTACCTGTTAGCTACATTAGCCACGTAGGTCCAGTACTAAAACTAAAGAAGCAAACATTTAGACACCAAACACGTCTTCACTAATTTTCTACGTTTAAGGTTGGGTGGGAAAAAGATCAGATTTTTGTCTGAACTGTCGCTTTAACTGTAGGTTTTAAAGGTAAATGTAGCTGCTGTAGGTTTTTATTGTGCTGACTGTCTGGACTGTATTTATCCCACAATTCACCAGAGGCGCTCTCGCCAAACTCCCCCGCCAGCACTCCTCTTCAACTCTAGCACACCTGAGACGGTCAGTACCTGTACCTGTCTCCCCTGGCTCCGCCCCCAAGCTCCACCCACCACTGTTCTGTGGCGCACAGCTGTCAATCATTTCCACCTCCGCCCTCTGCTTCCTTCCACACAGCTCCAGTTTTGGGGGAGCCTACCCTCTTTCTGTTCATCCAGTTATAAAAACATCAGTGCAGAACACTAGAGGGCGCCAGAGAGAGTCTTCAGTGAATTTTTTTATCTGAACAGATAAAAAATATTATTTAAATATGTTTGCAGGAACTTCCTTTAATGTTGGGTAAGTGCTGAGTGCTGACTGGCTGGAGCTGCTCAGCTCATTGGCTGATTACAAAGGTCATCAATATAAACAGGCACTTTCGGAAAGTCCTAAAACTGTAAAACTGAGTTGAAAGGTGTCAAAATAATATGACAACAATCTTGAAACGCTGTGCTGGATTAAATGTTTGTACAAAAAAATTTACAATGCATATTTATTTTGGACCCTCTCAGAAGCGCCCTCTAGTGTTCCATCATGAGTTTACTGAGTGGCAGTTCTTCCTAACTACAAATTCTCTGGCTCCACCTATGCTCTGGCCACGCCCCCTCACTTGCACCTGTCTCCCGTCACACCTGTCGCCATCACCTGGCTTTCGTTTCTGTTACAACAGCAGCGCAGTGACTGATTCAGACTGATTTGAGGAGATTCTTTATGCAGAGTGATTGAAAGATTCAGGCTGGTTTCTGTAATGGAGAAGAAAGCTTCACCATCTCTGGTGTGTCCTTCATTCCTTCTCCTTCAGAAACTCTCTTCTCTCCTGCTTCCCTTCTGTTTATCATCCCCGCACACTTTACTGGAAAACTCTGCCTCGTACAGGTCTGCACTCACTGGGTCCCTCATCTTTACAGCAAGCAAGCGAGCGATCGAATCTAGTACTGCATCGCATCGTGACGACGTCTACACTGGAAACAGCAAGTCAAAATGTAAACAAACCACAGACCTATCAGAAAATAGATTGAGACCTAGCTACGCTATACTCTTTAAAAAGATGGTTCTTCAGAGGGTTCTTTAATAACATAGAACCATGAACCATGAATTCTCTTTGAATTCTCTTTCAATGCACTCGCAAAAGTCAGATTCATCTGCTTATGGGGGTCTGAAGCACAACCCACAGTACAAAATGTTCTTCCACATGTTGTGTGCAGTGACACATTTCCACCAGAGGGGGCTCCAAATCCTCAAATTTTGTGCTGCTTTAACTGCTGTAGGTGAAGGTAACTTTGGTGACGAGCGCATGCCTAAAATAATCAACAAAACAACTAATGGTTACCAAACTAACTAACCTGAAAATAAAAGAAACAAAAATACCCCAAACTACCTTAACTCCCTGATCAACATATATGATTGGACGCTTGCAGCAACTGATATTTTTAGACTTTTGGTGGCAAAAATTAACAATTTTTTATTTTATGGATGCACTGACAATTGATTCACATAAAAGAGATACCGTTGAATAATTTGGTATATGTTCTGTATTATTAAATTATTTTGGGGGGAAAATAATGAACACAAAAATGCATGACATGTCAGTGACCTGCCCCCATGTGGCCACTCCCAGACCAGCACATAATTCAACAGAAACACACAAAGAGAGAGAGACACAAAAAAAACACACAAAGCAGCAGCAGAAGACGACAGTCGTCAGGAATATTACAGCCGGGTTCGTAACGTGGGAGAGTTTTGGTTTTGTCGTCGTGTCTCGCTCGTCTCGCTTGCTGTTAGGACACAATGTTAGAATGTTCAGGAAAAGAACTGACAAGTAAAATGAGCTAGAATGAACGAGAGGAGAACGTTCTAGTATCTTCCAGCAATCAAACACGCCTTCGGAACAAACACTCAATCGTTTGTGTTTGTCCTATTGGAGTCCTCTAGTCTTAATTATACACCAGCAAGGTGGAGCTACAAGGGAGGGGTTTCTGATAAAGTGGACGGGGATCTGTCTCTCACATTCATTCCTCGCCAGCAACTCTCACACAAACTTACACACGTATCTACACACACCTAACTCGTCCTCTCTCTCTCTTTCTCCCTCCTGCAGGCTGCTCTTGCTGCTCAGGGTGGACTCTACTGTCTGACTGGCTGTGCGGTAACTGTCTCACACTTGTCAATGTTTTCAGTCTTACACCAAACTGCAAAGTTGATATTAATTTCCATTTGAAATGTTGGACTGAAATTTGTCAGGAGGACCATGCCTGGAACCCCTCCCCTCTTCCAATCTAATGCCCAATAAATTCCCATCTATACCTATACAAAGTTTTTGCACCCCTCCCTCCCTGTTCCTCAGTCTTATATCAGTCCTGCCACTGTGCAAAAAAGAGTGAGATCAGGCCTTCTAGCTCCAAGCAAGCTTGGCTAAAGCGTTTGGGAAATGGAGACTGAAACTGGGGAGCGGCGATGCTCTGATGAACAGCAGGGGGCGCTCTCACAGTATTCACTACTTACAGTTTGTCACATTTTAGTTTCATTTGACCTCTTTTACATCAGTAACAGCAGCTTAACGGCCCCAGAACTATATCCTGAATTCTCAGAGTCCCCCCCACCCCCCCTCAATCAGTCTCCCCTTATACTGCCACTATCTGTTGAAAGCACGGTCCAAACTCACAAATCAATTTATGCTCAATAGTGATCTCAATGACATTTGCTTAAACAACATCTGCTTGGTTTATCTGAAAATAATTGCACTTTCATGACTGAAAACTGTTTATCTATTTCCTCTTTTCAGGATGTGAACCCAATGCAGACTATAGCCGTGAGTACTGACCCTTTCCGTGTTTGGTAAAATAATAGACTGTAATTTTGCATGTATTTTTCCTGAAAGCTTACAATGACACAAATTGCTGATTTTCTCAGCAAATTCTTTTGTCATTTTTTGTAAAACATGTTTCTGTATCTGCATATCTGTGATTTTAATAATCTTCAATAATCATATTTGTGCTTTGCAATAATCATCTAATCATTAAACTGAATTAATGAGAGATTCGCTGACTGGTGTTTGTTTACAGGACTCCGAAAATATGAGTGTATCCATAACACTCTTCCGTTTGTTCCGTGTGATGCGTCTGGTGAAGCTGCTGAATCGCTTTGAGGGAATTCGGAACCTGCTGTGGACCTTCATCAAATCTTTCCAGGTACCTCTATCAAATCTTTCGTGGTACCTCCATCAAATCTGTTTAGTTATCTTCATCAAATCCTTCCAGGCATCTTTATCAAATATATCCAGTTACCTTCTTCAAGTGCTTCCAGGTACTTTCATCAAATCTGTTCAGTTATCTTCATCAAACCCTTCCAGGCATCTTCGTCAGATCCTTCTAGGTATCTTCATCAGATCTGTCTAAATATTTACATCAAATATTTCCCTTGAACTTCACCTAATCCTTTCAGGTGAATGCCATCAAATCCACTCAGGTACCTCCGCAAAACCCTTTCATGTACCTCCATTGAATCTTTCCAGGTACCTCCATCAAAACCTTCCAAGTACTTTAAGTCCTTCCAGGTACATTCCTCAAATCCTTTCAGGTACCTTTATCAAATCTTTGGAGGGATGATCATTAAATACTTCCAAGTACCTTCATCTAAACCTTCCCTGTACCTTCATCATATCCTTCCATCAAGTTCTTCCAGGTACCTTCATCAAGTCCTTCCAGGTACCTTCATCAAGTCCTTCCAGGTACCTTCATCAAATCCTTCCAGGTACCTTCATCAAGGTCTTCCAGGTACCTTCATCAAGTTCTTCCAGGTACCTATATTAAATCCTTCCAGGTACCTTCATCAAATCCTTCCAGGTACCTTCACCAAATCCTTCCAGGTACCTTCACCAAATCCTTCCAGGTACCTTCATCAAGTCCTTCCAGGTACCTTCACCAAATCCTTCCAGGTACCTTCATCAAGTCCTTCCAGGTACCTTCACCAAATCCTTCCAGGTACCTTCATCAAGTCCTTCCAGGTACCTTCACCAAATCCTTCCAGGTACCTTCATCAAGTCCTTCCAGGTACCTATATCAAATCCTTCCAGGTGTCTTCATCAAATTCATCCAGGTACCTTAATCAAGTCCTTCTAATAGATACTGGTGTGACATACAGCACCAGTTACCACATAAGCAAGTCTATTAGTGATCACTTAACAAGTCCACATGGTTTAAGGCAGGTGTATAATGATTTATTCCATAAACTGATTTCCTGTAAAGCTGCCTTGAGACAACACTAGTTGTAAAAAGCGCTACACAAATAAATGTTGTATGATGATTTACGCATGATTCCTAATTTTTTACTTGCTCTTGTGTTTTGATGATATTCTAACATATTATATTGATTTTGTTTCTTGTGTGCAGGCTCTGCCATACGTGGCTCTGCTTATAGTCATGCTCTTCTTCATCTACGCTGTCATAGGCATGCAGGTGAGAAACACACACATTCACATTTGCTTATTATGGCACAAACAGGGATTGTGTACAGTGTAATAGGTCAGCAGCACACAGAGGTTAGCTGGCTGGCTGGATAAACAAATATTAACCTTCAAATGTGGCCCAAGATCCCTCTGGATTTCTTTAATATCTTCTCTGAAAGGTTCTTTGTTCAGTCAGGAAAAGAAATGTATAACATTGCTGTCCGATTTGTAATGCTTTCCAACTCCAGTCATAAGACTGTGTAACAGGGCTTTATCCTTAGTGAGAACATCAGTGAATGTGAAACACTTCACTCAGCTATTGACCTGTTCATCTTGCCAACCTATCAGCCCTCCAACCCCAGTGCTACCATGCTAATATCTATTTACTGTTGAAAAGTAAAAAGATGCTGGTAAATTTTTCACCACAATTTTATATATATAAAATATATTTTATATATTGTTGTTTTTTGGGGTTTTTTTCTTCAAGGTGTTAATATACCAGAACCTCCCAGTTATCTCAAAGTCCCTAAAAATAAACCCATTATGACGGCCGATGCTCAAATTCAGTGAAGCTGATTGTTTATCTGATTCACCCACAATCAGCTTCTGTCTTTAGTGCTCTTAACTAACTAGAGCTGCAGCACTGCTCTGCCTCAGGGTGGCGCTGTAGCAGACTGGCTCACCCAGTTGGTCCTTCATAGCCTAGAAACTGCAACTCTGCCCGGATTCCTCTGAAAAACTTTACAATGAGCTGCAGCAGATCTGTAAATCTGAAAACTCGCCCAGTTTCCCAAGAGTTTGGAGTGAAGAGTGACTGTTCCTCATTTCTCACACTGAAGACAGAAGAGGAGACGAGGAAGATCTCAGTTACTGTGAGGAAGAGCGCAGAACCGCACTAGAACAGAGACTCTACAGAAGAGGAGACGAGGAAGATCTCAGTTACTGTGAGGAAGAGCGCAGAACCGCACTAGAACAGAGACTCTACTGAAGAGGAGACGAGGAAGATCTCAGTTACTGTGAGGAAGAGCGCAGAACCGCACTAGAACAGAGACTCTACAGAAGAACAGCTGATAAAACAAACATTTACTGACATTGAAGAATCAGCATAGCATCTGCTATGGTTAGCATCTGAACAACACTGGAGTTGCCAGTCAGCATGGGACCCAAACACCAAAGAAGAATTTTGTACTTGATATATTTATTATTTCTAGCATTCATGTAACATTTCAGGGTTTACTTCAAGTGCCTTTTTTGCTGTTGCAGTTTTGCCAGTTACAGCAAAATGTTATTCTAAAATAAAACGCAATAGAAACATAGGCGTTCTCCGGCCCATGGATTTTTTAAAATTGCCCTTTTAGTGTTTAAGTTTGACACTCTGCTCTAAACGTTCGGTGGATAAATTATCATCTGTGTTCTGTTCGACCCCCTGCAGGTGTTCGGGAAGATCGCACTGATTGATGGAACAGTGATAAATCGCAACAACAACTTCCAGACGTTTCCACAGGCCGTTCTGGTGCTGTTCAGGTAAATGCTATGTGATGTATCACCTGGAGCTCAGGTATATCAGATGAGGTGGGGTGCTGACTCAGTTGTGTGCAGGTGTGCTACAGGTGAGGGCTGGCAGGAGGTGATGTTGGGGTGCCTGTACGGTCAGCGCTGCGACCCTAAATCAGATTACCTGCCGGGGGAGGAGTACACCTGCGGCGCTGGATTCGCCGTTCTCTACTTCATGAGCTTCTACATGCTCTGCGCCTTCCTGGTGAATAACTCACACATAGACATGAGCACAAAAGTGTGTGCATTAACACATATATATTTAAATATATGTGATTTATAGATGCATTTATTTATTCATGTATTTTTTCTGTTTGTATACAGTCCGTTTAATATCCAGTGTTGCTTTACAGAGTAAAATGTGTACAAATAATAAAAATACAAATCATGCAACCTACACACTACTACACACTGACTGCTCACCTGCACCTGTTTAGATCATTAACCTGTTTGTGGCCGTCATCATGGACAACTTTGACTATCTGACCCGTGATTGGTCCATCCTCGGGCCGCATCATCTGGACGAGTTTAAGAAGATCTGGGCGGAGTACGACCCTGAAGCCACGTGAGTAACTGACTGATCAGTCAGTCATTACAGCAGTTTGAAGCCTCTGCTGCAGAGGATGATTAACTAGGCTGTAATATCTCTGCTGTCCTCCAGGGGGCGCATTAAACACTTGGATGTGGTGACTCTGCTGCGGAGGATCCAGCCCCCACTTGGCTTTGGCAAATTCTGCCCCCACCGCGTCGCCTGCAAGGTAACTAACACACGTCCCCTTGACTCAGACTCACAAAGACAAAACCCCATAGTGAACCGCAAAAACTTTTGCTTTATTATTATTATTATTATTATTAAGCATAAGACTATTATTATTCAGTATCTACTATGAATTATTCATTAACTACTATGAATTATTCATTCATATCATGTAGTAGTGGATGATACGGGCAAAAATTTACTGATGGTTTCATTACATATCACAGTAATTCACACAATTTACTTCTATAATTTTATAAAGATAAAACCATTTTGGATGGTTAAGTAACCTTTATTGTAGATTAACAGTGCTGTGTTATTCTGGACGTCCCTTCACTTTTAATAAGAATCATATTTATCAGCTGAAGTGATAAATATGATAAAATATTTTTACTGGGTGAAACAGTAAAAACAGAACTGATCAATATTCAGTCAGATGTCAGTGTGTCTCTCTAACCCTGTCGAGATGAAGGTGAGTGTGTGTAAAGCCCACAGCGGCTCCTCTAAACGCTGCTGAATGTAGTTTTCCGTCTGAAAGTCGTTTGTCTCGTTTGTGCGTCTCTCACACTCGAGCTTTAATCTCCGAGCGTCAGACGCTGCTGGAGTTCAGTAAATATTACAGACGTTCACTCTGTCAGTTTTAGCTGAGGAGCTGCGGAGCCTCTCGGCTTGTAGGCCGAGACCGCGGCGTCGCCTGAAGCAGCCGGCTGGCTCTAACAATTTATCCTCCCCATCGAGCGGTCCTACTGAGCATGTGCAGATCATTAGTACAGCATATTAACTCAGTGTTTTAAACGTTTTAAACCAAAATATCCTACCTATAAATATACGTTCAACTCATTACAGTCTGATGTGAATGCTTTGACCTTAAACTGGACTACCTGACCTCAGACTGCAGCCACTACATGAGAGTTGAGGGACTCAGCATGTTCTGCACTGTTTGTACGTCATGTTGTCTGCATTTATTTGCATACCAGCATAATGATAATGACAAAACTAACACCTTAAAAAGCATTTCAGCTGGTTTACCAGATAAACCAGTACATCGGCCACTACTGCTCCTGCAAATTGCTTAGTAACTACTATGAAACTAATGTTTAGGTTCTGTTGTTATTAGGAACTGAACCCACATATGGACTCTTATCTGACAGGTGTGTTTGTGTGTTTGTGTCTGCAGAGGCTGATCTCCATGAACATGCCGCTAAACAGTGACGGCACCGTGACCTTCAACGCCACACTGTTCGCTCTGGTCCGAACTGCACTCAGGATCAAAACAGAGGGTAAGCATACACGTTTTGCACGTTTTGCAATATTGTGAAATATTTAAACGGCGTATGCCACAGAAAACTCAATTTTTAAATGAAAGAGTCTGATGTAGTATGTAAACAGTTTCATAGAGTGTAGTTTATTCCCCAGTTCATATAGTCCATATATGTAAACTAAACTGCAGCCTGTTTTGAATTCATTATGAATGTGATGTCACAACTATAATGCAGCACAGTAGGGCAGCAATCAGAGCTCATTTGCATATATCAGTCCTAAAGGCAAAATGGTTGTATAGAAAGAAATTAACTACACAAACATGGAACTAAAGAGGAAAAAACACAATGAAATATAAGATAAATTCAGGATTTGGGCATACATGATTTATATACACTACTAAGTCTCTCATGTGACCCCACTCTGCGTCTGTCCGAACGGTCAGGTAATTTCCAGCAAGCCAATGAGGAGCTGCGGGCCATTATAAAGAAGATTTGGAAGAGAACCAGCATGAAGCTGCTGGACCAGGTCATCCCACCTATCGGAGGTGAGCAGAGGAATAAGAGCTCAGCGGTTGAATGTTTTCACACTTGCAGTTGAAAACAGTCACAGAGCTGTCAGACCATTAAAACAGTTACTCACAATTAATCACAAAAAGCAGCGTCATAGCCAGTGTGTGAAAGACCCCCTGGTACTCAGGGGTCCCATGTTGTTCGATGGTGGTTAGCTTTTGCTTGGTGGTTAGCTTTCTCTCTATAAGTTTCTCTGACTTGAACACAGAGGGACCATAGGGGGAACACAGTTTAGTTAAAGCTGCGTGGGCGGGGCAAAACACATCAGTCTTGTGATTGGTTAAGATAATGTTTACATTCGCCCTACCCGAGATTAGGATTGACATCAAAAGAGAAGAATGTTGGTAAAATATATTGGCCATTTATTGGACATTGGAAAGTTATTTACAGGACATACTTTCTACATGAATACTGTAACCCACAAGAGCAACATTGACCTACTGAGAGAGAAAACATGGAGCTTTATTAATTTAGTTTGTTAATGCTTTAACTTTGACACCACTTAGGGATACATAAGGATTCTGTATCTCACATATCCTCGTGTTTCAGATGACGAGGTGACCGTGGGGAAGTTCTATGCCACATTCCTGATCCAGGAGCACTTCAGGAAGTTTATGAAGCGGCAGGAGGAGTATTACGGCTACCGGCCGGCCAAAAACAAAACCACCAACGAGATTCAGGTAGAAAAACACAGAGTCTTCTTCTTCACAGCACTGATAGCAGGCAGACCTCTTTAATCTCTCTCTCCTCCTGCAGGCTGGGCTAAGGAGTATCGAGGATGAGGCGGCTCCGGAACTGCAGAGGGCGATATCGGGTGACCTGCTGAATGAGGAGGAGATGGACCGGGCCATGGACGAGGCCGCAGAGGATGCCATCTACAGGGTACATTAAAAAAAACAGCTCACAAGCACATCGATATACATATTTACATATGGCTGCCCATTCAGCCTACAGCAGTTTAGCTCCGCCCATTCAGCCTACAGCAGTTTAGCTCCACCCATTCAGCCTTTTTGGTACATGAAACCACACGTTATAAACAAATTCCATGAAAAAAATCAAGTGGGATAACTGTAATTATTCATAATTAATAATTGTGACTTATCAGTAGTATGATCATTGCTGAATATTACACTGTTTATGTGTCTCCATGGTTACCAGCGTGCGGGCGGTCTGTTTGGGAACCATGTCGACCCCTTCAGTCTCCAGCGGGGAACCCCTCTGCCCACTCAGGTGACCTCCCAGCGCCCCCTGCATGTAGCCGACAGCAGGACGGAGGAGACTGAGGCTTCACCATCTTACCTCAGCTACGCAAACAACTACAACACAAACAACAACACAAACAACAACAGCCTCACACGCAGGTCAGAACCAGCGGCAAAGTGCTTCAAACTCTTTATTTTCTGGCTGTCAGTCTCTGATTATCTGATTTTATTCTGATTTAGTGCATCATGAAACTTCAAATTTCAGCACAGTTCAGTTTGATTCAACTGAAAATGTTTGTATGTCTCAATTATTTCTAAAAATACGCTGCATACACAAATATAATGACCAACTAATATTCCAACAGTAGTGGAATAAAGACCATAAAAACAATACATTAAGCTTTCTTTACATGTGAAAATAGTCTGAGCATCTTATGGTGGAGCGCATACTTTTACTGAATGTTATGATTTATTAGAATTGATTCTAAAATTCCAAAACCGATGCTGATTAATGTTCACCTTCAGATCTAGTAGTGGGGAATGCTGTGGGCTGTAATGATAAAGTGATTGTTTTTCAGGTTTTTATTCGAGGGTGTGGGCTCTGTCCAGTGCAACTCTGCTTCTCCATCCACAAGTGAACTTCATTACCCAGTGTGCAGCAGGGGGGCAGTGCAGGGTCCAGTGAGTGCTGCTGATCTGTTGATTCAGGAGGTGAGAGCGGAGCTCAGCCAACAAAAACACTTCAACAGCACATACAGCAGACAACATGGTGTAAAAGGCCTGGACTGAACAGGAGACGGACCGACTGATATCTACTGCAGGCTTAGTCCGGTGATCTCGTAACTAGAATAAACGTCTGGAGACGACCTGATGCTTTTGGGCCCTAACAAGCGTTCACCCCACCCCGAAATTCCTGATCCGGCTCTTTTAACATCCGGATTACAATCTATAGCACGAGCAAAACAAGCTAGCAGCAACACGCTACTGCTAACAGAACAGTTTTTCTCTTGTAAGATTTTTCAACGTGTTCTACTCACATTTACACACTCAACTGGGTTATTTTGGGGGTCTTTTTTAGCAGTGCTAACCTACGTTATGTTCATGTGCTAATGACAGGTTTGTTGTGTATCAGACAATGTTAACAAGTGCACCAGTGCCCTCTACTGTCAGCTCCACCTTCACGCCTTTATTGGATTCGTTTAAAAATTGTGTTCCTACCCTACTAAACCCACATTCCCCCACATTTAGTTTGCATCCAAACCCGCGTACCACCATACTAAACAGTGTCAAAATAGTACCGTTAGTAACACATTCATTAATTTAGTAAGCACAGCACAGCAGCACGTGGTTTTGGATGCAACCTTAGCCTAAAACTTCTCACGGTTGTCCCCAGACGTTCTCAGTAAAAGCCGGAAAATGTCTCGGAGGAAGAGGAGAATGAAACTGGCTCCGTTTACTTAAACCACATGCTTTTCTTTTCTTTCAGGGTTCAAATACTGTTCAAATGGAATATTACAATATTATATTAAACAGACTTCAGTATTAGAAAACACAAACAATAAGCCTGAACAAAATACAGACGGGAACAAAGCTCACTTCTTTATTTCAAAGCAGACTTCTGCTCATATCAGATCAGCTCTAAAGCTTCAGATGTCACCCAATCAGCAGCAGGGATGGTTAAAGTTTGGAGCTCATGTCCTCCAGGCTGTAGAGAGCGGAGTGAAACCACAGAGAGGTGTTTTACTGCAGCACATTTACACTCTAAATTAACACAAACACATAAAACATAAGTACAAATGTAAATAAAAACTGAAATCTACGTTGGACTGTATTTAAACACAAACAGTACAAAGATATTTAATGATTTATTTATTCATCTTAAACCTCATTCATTGTTTTATCTAAATTCGTTGCTTTTTTCTAGACATGCACTCAGTCTGCAATTGATTTCTGCAGCACGTTCCAAAAAAGTTGGGACAGGAGCAATTTAAGACGAGCAAAGTATTGAAAAAACTCAATCAGGTGATGTAATCCTGCTCGGTTATAAGTCCTTTATGAGCGAGGGTGGATTGAGACTCTCTCTTTTCCAAAAAACCGAAGAAAATATTTTCCAAAAACTCCAATTTGAGAACAGCGTTCCTCAACAAGTGATTGAGGATTTAATGTATTTCACCCTCTACAATACAAAATATATTCAAGAGATTCAGGAAATCTGGACAAATTTCTGTGCGTGAAGAACAAGGCTGAAAACTACGAATGACCTTCGACCCTTTGGACATCACTGCGTTAAAAAAACGACATGCTTCTGTGATGGAGATCATCACACAGGCTCAGTGGAAACATGTATTGTGGTCTGACGAGTCCAACTGTCAGAGTGTTTATGGAAATAATGGATGTTGTGTTCTCCGGGTCAAAGAAGAGAAGAACCATCCAGATTGTTACCAGTGTAAAGTTCTAAATCCAGCGTCTGTCAAGGTACTAGTGGGAGGTACTAGTGGGTAACCTGTCGTGGTACTGGGGGCGGGGTAATAGTGGGTAATCTGCACATCTGTGAAAACTCCATTAGCACTTAACACAGTTTGGAGCAACATGCTGCCTTTTAGACGCCGTCTTTTTCAGGGACGTCCATTATTATTTCAACATGACACACCAAGAAACGTTCTGCACCTGTTACAGCTGCACGGCTGCGTAAACAGAGAGCGCGGGTTCTAGACTGACCTGCCTGCAGTCCAGAACTGCCTCACACTGAAAACGTGTATCTTATTAAGTTCAAAATACGACAACAAAGGCCCTGTTTACACAGCTGAAGACTTGTTTAATAGAAGAATGGCTTTCAAAGCTGGATCAGTTTGGTCTTCAGTCCCCAGACGACTATTAAGTGCTGTTAAAGGAAAGGTGATGTAGCTCAGTGTAAACATGATCCTGTAACAACTTTTTGGAACCTGTTACAGGCATCATATTTGGAATGAGCATATATTTAGAAAAAACTGTGAAGCTCATAAAGTTAAACACTGAATATTGTTTCTAATGGAATGCAGGTCCAACTGAATTTACTGATTACTGTTTTTAATTGCCATTTTACACACCGTCCCAACGGTTTTGGAACTGGGGCTTGTCTAAAGAAACATAATGAAGGAAACACATACAGCATGCAGCTCGTTAATAAGTTCATTTGGAGGTGCTCTTACTGCACGTTCTTCAACTGACATTGCATGAGACGCTGTGCATGTTCTTCAATGGCTGCTGTAATTTCTGCAAACCACCAGGTGTCACTGTTTTCAAAGCTCCAAAGCTTCTGTCTTTTCTCAGCGCAGTCAGGAAGAAGCCTCAAATAAATATCGATATCGAACGATAGTAAAATATTACACTGTGATGAGATTTTTGGCCATAATTTATATCTGTTTACCTATTGGCTCCAAAGGTGTGACTCCTCCTCACTTCCTGTTTCCTCAGGTGCTGCAGGCGGGGGGCGTGGCTCTGCTGGCTGCGGACTGCAGCTTTGTTGCCGTGACGAAGGCGGAGATGGCTGCAGCGCTGCACCTGAGCCTCAACCAGCTGGAGAGAAAAGCAGTGGCCCTCCTGAACGCACGTGCAAGGGGCGGGGCCAGAACACCGGCCACGCCCACAAACTCAGACGAAATACAGAACCTGGTGTAAACTGTACACCGATATTAATCACTGTTTAATGTGCCAGAGACTAGACATGCTACATCCCATAATGCAGCGGGTGGTGGGTGGTGACAGGAAAGCTTTGATTACACTTTTTCTCAGTTGTTTAAAACATTAAAATAGACGCAGCTTTTTCATAACTTTAAAGACCTTTTTTACACTTCACACAAATGATTGACAGAAAAATACACCTTAATCTTAATACCTAAGTTATATTAATGATAAACATATTTAGGCAAAACAGACACACTCGTCTGTAGCCTAGGTAGCAATTTTTATTTATTTATTTATTTTATTTTTTAGTTTTTTTAATAATTGGCCTAGATACAATTTTATGCAGTTCTGAGACATTTTTAACAGAATGGCAGTGTTGGGGCAATTACACCGTAATAAATGTTCAATAAGGAGATTTTGTGTTGTTACGACACTTTAAACTGAGAAACTGTGAGTCCTACATTTCTGTCTCACTCATGGCGAATATGTCCACCAGTGTCTGCTGTGAAATGGTGATGAAAATGTCCCTAAAAATGGTTTAGTCTCTTCAACCTGAGCTCTGAAAAATGCACGAGACTCTACAGCGCCATCCGGTGGGCATAAACACCGCCAGGCTTCATTTTTTGGGCCTTTAGATCCAAACTTGTGTGAGACAGACAGATGTTGGGATACATTTACAAAACAATATTTAAATTTGTTTTGTCACAAATGTGTTTCTGGTTGCAAATATTTAACAGGCTCGAAAACAATTTACATTAAATATGATTACAGAGTCAGAATAATCGCTTTTAGAACTGTGAAATGTTCCTGATGATGCCGATGGAGCTGGTTTTCTATTAGCAGAAGAATCTAAATAAATAAATAAAGAGATGATGGACTTAATTTGTTGTTTTTCATTGTTTGTTGTGTTTAGAGTGAACTGAAATGTGTAACAGCGGAAATGTGAAAACAAACATATGGACCTTTACCCTCATGTTCACCATCTGACAGCAGAAACACACAAATACACCAACTTTACAGTATTTGTGCTAAATATGTAAACAACTTTACATATAAACTTTATGCTGCGATTGCTAAATAACATCAGTTACCACATTTATGTGTCTTTACAACTTTCACAACTTACTCTAACTTCTCATTTCTCTTGCTTGTTATTGTTGGTTAAATGATTGTGTTTATACAAAAAAGTGTACGTCTCACTTTTCATGATAATGTTAGCTAAGTTAGCCAACATTTTCATGTACTAACTTCAATTCCTCCACGGAAGATCCTACTTACGACTTCGAAGGTCGTACGTTGATGTGATTTGTGTTCAATTGGTTTTGGTTGGAAATAAGTGGAAATAATGTTGTTGGTTTACTTTTATTTCTGTTATTAAAGAGAGTCTGATTATATAATTATATAATTACATTATAATTTTTTATAATGAAAAATCGGAGTTTCCCACCAGTAAATACGATGTTGCGGTGGCGTTCGTGTGCCTCCATCTCGTAAATACGATATTTCTGACAGGACTTGAAAGCAGCAATATATGGCCTTAGCTTAGAGGTACCTGAGTTACATACTATTCTCTTGTTAGCATATCTTAGCAAAATTATCACTAACAAAAGCACAAAAGCTGAACTCTGTGCTGTTTATCCAGGCTACCACATTTACACATTTACAGAAATACCAACGTCACCAAGAGGAACGTAAAGCTGAGTAAGCAAAGCTGCTACTTTACTCTTTCTGCTAGCATTAGCCACGTTAGCCACCTTTCCACTCTCGCTAACTTTAGCTAAGTGACAGTAAATTCCAGCTTCGCCTTTCTGACCAGCTCACTTTACTCTCAAGGTAAAGCATCACTTTCAAAAGCACCTTAAGCCGTTTAGAGTCGAGACGGATGAAAAGCAGCTGAAGATCCTTCAGTCTGAAAGCTTTTATTGTGTGATTTCATGTAGAGCTAAGCAGGTTCCACTGCAGCAGCTATGCCATTTCCAGGTTTAAAGCAGGTTTACATCAAATCTAGAAACAAAACACAGAATAATCCACACACATACAACCGCAAACCTCCAGCAGTGATGAAGCTGCTTTTATCCAGACTTACATTTATATGATACAAAGTCTTAAAGTGAAAATGCCACCACCAGAATATACACCAGATTAAAGGAGCCCTTCAGCGTTTTCACCCTGATCTCCATCCGCTGTGTGTCGTACAGTCGATCATCTCAGACAGTGACCTCAGCATGTTTACCTGAACTTAGAAACCAGAGAGCTCACCGACTCTAATCTGGGTTATGATGGACGTCAATGGGCAGATGCTAAACTGCGTTAGCAAATGTTTTTGCAAACCTAGCGCATCTCTGAAAGAATGAATTAGACAGATTTACATTACTGACTGGGGAATTAAGGTTTTCTACAAATACACGTTTCGCATCAGGAACAAAGGAAGATGTAAGTCGGGGGTGCAGAAATTTTACACAGCATTTCACTGCTGTCGGAACAAAACCTCAAATCTCCACAATGGTGACTTTACAGGAGAAGGAAAAACATACTTCTCTTTTAATGTACGTCAATGGAACCAGACATTTCTCTAAGTGATTTTGGGGCGTCATGAAATGTCTCAGTGTAAAACACAGGGCATTTTTAAATGATGTAGCAAAGGAAAAACAACAAATGGAGATACGAGGTTTTTCCCCCGACTGCAGCGACGTACATGATGTGAAAATGATTTGCCTTTTTCCATTTTAATCTTTTTGATCATTTACATCAAACAGAGCATCTCTGTGGTGAGAGACAACAATATAAAAAACACAGCACATCAGACGTCTGACGCACATCTTCACCGTCCTGCTTTGGATGGATGACCATTATGCAAACGAGCTGAGCAGTGACCAATCATATTACTGACTTGTGGCACAGTAACCAAATGTATCACACCATATAAGCGGGAAATGTAACGGTTTGAAAACAGGACGTTGTTGGAGAACGAGGCTCATTCCTAAGTCTGTTCTTAAGTGTGTTCTTGATAAAGGTCCTAAGAAAAAGTCTCTGTCAGATTCATGACGTGTTCTTAAAGCGCAGAACTGTTCTCCCCTTTGTGCTCTTGAGTGTGTGTAGATTCTGTTCTTACCTAAGAACCAATCCCACATAAGAGAACATCGGTGAGTCAGAGTCTTCATCAAACTGCATAAGTGGGTTTAAGAACAAAGTTCTTCTTAAGGACGGTTGGAGAACGAGGCCCAGTGTATTTAGGTGGCGGACATTATTACGTCAGATGATTTTTAAAGTTTAAAAACAACGTTAGGCTGCTATGAGGCTCAGAACCGGCCTAGAACTCATAGAATGCATATTCGTTCCCTCTTTGTTTCTCAACCTGCTTGTGTTTTAACATCGCGGCCCCAAAGTGAGCAGCAGTTGGCGAGGGAAGCGTCTTTAACCCTCTATAACAAAAATACAGCGCTAACGTAAACAGCGCAGGCTTCAAATCGGGGTGCTGCCGTGTCCAGCATCGCTGGATCATATAAACATTTACTGACCGAATTCAGCGTCTGCCCATAGACTTCTATTGCTCAGTTCAGAGTCAGTGAGCTTCCTGTTCTTTTCTACCTTCAGACAAACCTGCTGAAGTTACTGACTGTGGTAATCGATCGTATACTAGAGAAACAGCCGACAGAGACCAGGCTGAAGATGCTGAAGTCTCACTTTAATATCTAATATGACACACAGGCTGACGAATCAATCACTCTGATCGCTCTTCTGGAAACTCATAGTTCAGATTGGCACATAGACAGAAAACCAGAATGACAGACAATAAACAGATATTTCCTCTCATGAAAACGTCAACAATGACAGCAGATTTGAAACTACGCTAATTAAACCTTTGTACCTTCAGCGAGTACCTTAACGCAAATCATAAACACGTTAAATAAATAAAGCTTCAGAACGAGAGGACGTCAGTAATCCCCTTTACAGGAACGTCTCGGTCCGGTTCTGTTCTGTCGTCCACATTTAAAGCAGAGAAAAGACCGAAGTGAAGCAGCTCAACGTCTCCCGCAGTCAGAAAGTCAGATTATAGAGTAAAACTGGCTAAAAAAGTAGAAAGTCTTTGGTTTCTCCCGTGATTATCAAGTCCTTACGTCACTACATATGAAATGCAGCATTCAGCATCAAAGTGAAAGATACAAAAATAAACCTAAAATGCAAGTAGTAAAAATACAAGCTATAAAAATATATATTACAATTTTCAAAGAGCTTATAAAAGAGCTTATAGTGGAAAAATGAAAAGGCTATTTAGGAAATACAGTAAGAGTTTTTTGGTAAAATCCAGCATAAGTTACAAAATTGTTACTCGCCACAGAGAATTCAGATAAAAACAGTGTGTGTGTGTGTGTGTTTGTTTGTGTGTGTGTGTGTGTGTGTGTGTGTGTGTGTGTGTGTGTGTGTGTGTGAGTGTGTGTGCGTGTGTGTGTGTGTGTGCGTGTTTGTTCACGGACGGGAGTTATAAATGTTGTTCTCCAGGTCTGTATAAGAGACAGAGTTAAATGTATTGTGTATTTAAACTGTGTATTTTATTGGAGACACTCCCACAATTATTAAACCAATTCTGATTTTCTGTATCTGCAGTAAACTTTAAATTAGCACAGCTGATAACTTCAACATCTTTCCCTGAAGTTAGAAAAGAACAGAGAACTCTTTCATTCCAAACTCACTTATAATGGAAGTCAATGGGCAGAGGCTGAATTCTGATGTAAACAGAGAGATTCAGAGTGGTTTGGTGTGAAATGGTTCAGATGTCTTTACAGTGGTGGTGATAGGAACCAGGGGTCGCCATGACTACAACACAAATATAGACATTTTATTTACTATCCAGAACCACCAGTGAACCTACACGAGTCTTCTGAGTCTATATGGAATGTTGATGATGGAAAATAGTGGAAAATCTGAAATAATAAGTTTTCTTTGGGGACTATTTTGCCTCACAGCGCCCTGCATGTATCCCTCCACCATGAATGGAGTTTAAGTTCTCTAAACTATCATAAAACAGTGTCTCAGTCATCAGGCAGTGAATTCATAACCATTTCATGTAGGAACTTTCTGTGAGGGAGCTTTTAGAGGTGGACGTCTGGTTCCTATCACCACCACTGTGAACAGTTCTGACTCGGTAAGTTTATCTAGAACAGAGCGTTTCACACCAAACCACTCTGAACCACTCAGAACGGCTCTGAACCGCTCTGAATGAGTCTGTTTACATCTTAAAAAATTGAGTTAGAGTGAAATTAATGCTTTCTTTCGAAATATGTTTTGCATAAATGTTGAATCTGCCAATGGGCTTCTACAATAAGTGAGTTTAGAGTCAGCAGGTTGAGGGAAACGTGTTGAAATCACTGTCTGCTGTAATTAACTGTCCACTGATGCAGCAGGAGGAGGTCAGGTTGAGAAACTTTGGAGTTTTCCTTTAATGCAGCTGTGAACAGCTGCTGTTTAACTCTCCTCAGAGGCAAAAGGCCTCTAGGTCTGCTGCACTTTCTGCATCTCAGGTAAAGAGTGGACGGTACAGCCATGAAGGACGGCCTGGACAAAGCACTGTGTCCAGTTCTTATGTGCATGATATGTGACGGAACGCGACGTGTATCAGACGTGTGTATTACAGTTAAAGAGCTGAATATAAACCAGTTTTGTTGTAGATACAGTGCTGTGCAAAAATCAGACCCCTTACATTTATTTAATTTCCAGACAAAACAGCTGTTAAATATAAGTTTCTTTGTCAGATCTGCAGCTTGATTTTCTCCTCTCTCTCAAAGATGAAAGCTTTAAGTGCTGTTTATCTGATGGGGGCAGTTTTGGGGTCGACCAGCTCTTCCAGGTGGTTGTTAAGAGATCTTTTGGATCTTTCAATAGAAATTCTTGTTTTTTTCACTTTTTTTCTTTGACTCTTCTTCCTAATGCGCATGGATTATCTTATATCCAATGTCTTTACACATATCTCCTGAAAATCAGTCATTTTTTAAATAGCTGGTTTGAGTTTTGACTGGAGATGAAATAAATGAAGTTGGGGTTTTTGCACAGTTTTGTGCATGTATGACATGACTGTAATGTAACTATGGTCCGTGTTGAGCAGGATGAAGGTAGGGGGCGCTGCACTCATCTTTTTCCTCCTTTCATGTATGATGGAATGGCCCCCCGTGCTGTAAGACCCTCAAAGCGTTTGTAGGTGTAATTTATAAACACCCAGTCTTTATTCTTATAGTCCGCGTCTGCATGAGTACTGACTACAGCTGAGAGAGAGAGAGAGACACAGAGAGAGAGAGAGAGAGAGAGAGAGAGAGAGAGAGATAAAGCACCTCAGAAAAATCCATCTATGTTTTATATATATATATATATATATATACATATATATATATATATATCATATATACATACATACATACATACACACACACACATACATACATACATATAAAAACATATGTACTGAATTTTTAGTATTGTTTAGATTGTGGATATATAAAGGAATCGGATCAGTAGATCAGCAGTGAACACAGAGCGGATCGGTAGATCAGCAGCAATCATAGAGCGGATCAGTAGATCCGCAGTGAACACAGAGCGGATCAGTAGATCCGCAGTGAACACAGAGCGGATCAGTAGATCTGCAGTGAACACAGAGCGGATCAGTAGATCCGCAGTGAACACAGAGCGGATCAGACAGACTCACCGGCCGGCTGCAGGATGTCTGACTCAGGAAACTCGTCAAAGTTTGAGGTGTCGTCAATACTTTTGATCTCGATGGGGATCGCTGCTGGTCTCTCCCTGTAGAACACACAGAGACAGACATTACAGCACTGTTCTAGATACAAAAACACAACAAACCTTTACAGCAGAGCCAAACATCTGTCTCCACTGCACTCCTCAGAAACCAAAAAGGCTTTATTGTAATGAGGGTTAAGAAAAGAAGTTAATCCACCTCAACTCAAGCAAACATTAATCAGAGAGAACCAAACATGAGAACAGAGCTCAAGATAAAAGAAACTAACTTGTAGAACATTTTAGTAGAACAAAAACAGTTAATGTTGTAATATGGATCTAGAAAAAATCCTCTTATTAGAGATTTTAGATAAAAAACACAGTAAGAGCTATTACAAGAGAGTTCTAGATAACTGCCACAGTAAGAGCTATTACACGAGTTCTAGATAAACCCCATAGAAAGAGCCATTAGCAAGAAATTCAAGATAAACACTACAATAAGAGCCAACATAACAATTCTAGATAAACATAGTGACAAGTGCCACTATGAAAATTCTAGATAAATATCACAGTAAGAGCATTAGCAAAGAGTTCTAGGTAAACACCACATTAAAAGCCATTAAACTAGAGTTCTAGGTAAACATCACAGTAAGGGCCATTAACAAATAGTTATAGATAAATACCACCATAAGAACCAGTAGGGTAGAGTTCTAGATAAAGTTCAAAGTAAGAGCCAAATCTATTTGAGTTAGAACCTTATATGGTCATAATCGACTCCCTCGAAGAACAGGTTCCTCTTTATCTCCTCCACTCCGGCAGCTCCGATACGATGGTCCGCTTCACAGCAGAACCTGCACACATAAGAGCCTCAGTCCATCTGTCGGTAACGTGTTCTGCGTAACTCATGCAGCTTCATTAGAGCTGTACAATGTACCGTTTATCATTACCGTAATATCAGTCTTTGTAAAACTGATTCAAGTTTAGTTCAAAACTCCTGATTATGAAGCGTTTGGTGTATTTAAGAGTGTATACGTTTCTAGTTCTAACCTGAGGATGAAGCGTTTAGTGTATATAAGAGTGTATACGTTTAGTTCTAACCTGAGGATGAAGTGTTTAGTGTATATAAGTTTAGTTCTAACCTGAGAATGAAGTGTTTAGTGTATATAAGTTTAGTTCTAACCTGAGAATGAAGCGTTTAGTGTATACGTTTAGTTCTAACCTGAGAATGAAGTGTTTAGTGTATATAAGTTTAGTTCTAACCTGAGAATGAAGCGTTTAGTGTATACGTTTAGTTCTAACCTGAGAATGAAGTGTTTAGTGTATATAAGTTTAGTTCTAACCTGAGAATGAAGCGTTTAGTGTATACGTTTAGTTCTAACCTGAGAATGAAGTGTTTAGTGTATATAAGTTTAGTTCTAACCTAAGAATGAAGCGTTTAGTGTATATAAGAGTGTATACGTTTAGTTCTAACCTGAGAATGAAGCGTTTAGTGTATATAAGAGTGTATGCGTTTAGTTCTAACCTGAGAATGAAGTGTTTAGTGTATATAAGTTTAGTTCTAACCTGAGAATGAAGCGTTTAGTGTATATAAGAGTGTATACGTTTAGTTCTAACCTAAGAATGAAGCGTTTAGTGTATATAAGAGTGTATACGTTTAGTTCTAACCTGAGAATGAAGTGTTTAGTGTATACATTTAGTTCTAACCTGAGGATGAAGCGTTTAGTGTATATAAGAGTGTATACGTTTAGTTCTAACCTGAGAATGAAGCGTTTAGTGTATATAAGAGTGTATACGTTTAGTTCTAACCTGAGAATGAAGCGTTTAGTGTATATCAGAGTTTATACGTTTAGTTCTAACCTGAGAATGAAGTGTTTCGTGTATACATTTAGTTCTAACCTGAGGATGAAGCGTTTGGTGTATATAAGAGTTTATACGTTTAGTTCTAACCTGAGAATGAAGCGTTTAGTGTATATAAGAGTGTATAAGTTTAGTTCTAACCTGAGGATGAAGCGTTTAGTGTATATAAGAGTGTATACGTTTAGTTCTAACCTGAGAATGAAGTGTTTAGTGTATACGTTTAGTTCTAACCTGAGAATGAAGCGTTTAGTGTATATAAGAGTGTATGCGTTTAGTTCTAACCTGAGAATGAAGTGTTTAGTGTATATAAGTTTAGTTCTAACCTGAGAATGAAGCGTTTAGTGTATATAAGAGTGTATACGTTTAGTTCTAACCTAAGAATGAAGCGTTTAGTGTATATAAGAGTGTATACGTTTAGTTCTAACCTGAGAATGAAGTGTTTAGTGTATACATTTAGTTCTAACCTGAGGATGAAGCGTTTGGTGTATATAAGAGTGTATACGTTTAGTTCTAACCTGAGAATGAAGCGTTTAGTGTATATAAGAGTGTATACGTTTAGTTCTAACCTGAGAATGAAGCGTTTAGTGTATATAAGAGTGTATACGTTTAGTTCTAACCTGAGAATGAAGCGTTTAGTGTATATAAGTTTAGTTCTAACCTGAGAATGAAGCGTTTAGTGTATATAAGAGTGTATACGTTTAGTTCTAACCTGAGAATGAAGCGTTTAGTGTATATAAGAGTGTATAAGTTTAGTTCTAACCTGAGAATGAAGCATTTAGTGTATATAAGAGTGTATACGTTTAGTTCTAACCTGAGAATGAAGCGTTTAGTGTATATAAGAGTGTATAAGTTTAGTTCTAACCTGAGAATGAAGCATTTAGTGTATATAAGAGTGTATACGTTTAGTTCTAACCTGAGGATGAAGTGTTTAGTGTATATAAGAGTGTATAAGTTTAGTTCTAACCTGAGGATGAAGCGTTTAGTGTATATAAGAGTGTATAAGTTTAGTTCTAACCTGAGAATGAAGCGTTTAGTGTATATAAGAGTGTATACGTTTAGTTCTAACCTGAGGATGAAGTGTTTAGTGTATATAAGAGTGTATAAGTTTAGTTCTAACCTGAGAATGAAGCGTTTAGTGTATATAAGAGTGTATACGTTTAGTTCTAACCTGAGAATGAAGCGTTTAGTGTATATAAGAGTGTATAAGTTTAGTTCTAACCTGAGAATGAAGCGTTTAGTGTATATAAGAGTGTATAAGTTTAGTTCTAACCTGAGAATGAAGTGTTTAGTGTATATAAGAGTGTATAAGTTTAGTTCTAACCTGAGAATGAAGCGTTTAGTGTATATAAGAGTGTATACGTTTAGTTCTAACCTGAGGATGAGGTGCTTTGCTCTATCAGAGATCGGAACCTCAGGTGGGAAGATTAGCGTCTCTTTCCAGTTCATCACTTTTTTATACGTCTCCTGAGGAGTTTCTGAGCAGAACGGAGGATAACCTGCACAAACACACACATAAACACAAATATAAACAAACAATACCAACAAACCAGGTTCACCTTTGTGTGAATGTGACGCGTCCCTGAGATTGAAATAAATATATGGTCAAATAAAAAAAGGAAAACTATCTTTCTCAGGTCTCAGAAATACACTAAAGTCATGTGTTCAGGTCAGACAGTGACGGCCCTACCGATCAGCATCTCGTACATAATGACCCCCAGACTCCACCAATCACACAGCTTGTTGTATCCAGTCTGCATGAACACCTCTGGGGCGATGTAGTCCGGAGTCCCCACGGTGGAGAAGGCCTGAGAGAGAGATCAGAGCAGTCGGTCCACATTACTGCTGATATAACAGCCCATTATGAAGGCTCAGCTGGGACTCTGAATCAGGGGGCGCCCAAACTTTTTATCTACTGCAATGTTTGTAGTGGGAAAAGGACAAAAAGGACAAAACATAAAAATAAAAATCGGGAATTTTACAGCATTACACATTTTCTTACAAAAATACATCAAATACAGCTCTAATCAGCTGATAATCATTATTCATTAAAGTGATGCTTCAGTGAAAAAAGTCATATTCCCTGATTTTTTCCCAATGTAGGCCAATCAGGGCTTGTTGGGCTCTTTAGTTTTATCAGTAAGGAAACTTACACCCTCCCAATGAACAGGGTGCTCACTGCTCACCACCTCCCACTCACACACCTCCCTGTATCCTGTTAGTGAAGTTTGAATTTTCTGTTCCACCTTAAATGGTGCAGCAGTTACATTCTGGCTCCTCAAGGCTCGTTTATGCTCCCTTTACTTACGTCTGTTTCAGACGATGTGACCGTCACTGCCTCTGCGCTTCCATGTGTTCTTTTACGTTGGCATGGATGTTGAGAAGTACATCCACTAGAGGGCAGTCCAGAGTCAAACGTTTCTGACCACAACCATGGCGACAGTGGAGGAGGTTCGTAATAATGTAAAGAGGCGGCGCTGTAGTCTGTGGAGTCTGTGAGGTCAGTAAATACTCCGTGTTGTGTGGACGGAGAATTCTTTACACTTTTATTGCCAATGACAGAAACTGGCATCGTGCCTCGACAGAGAACTTGTAGAGAGGAGAATTTACGCTCTGTAATGTCTTCCAGGTTCCTCAAACACTAGAGGGCGCTCCCGAGTCCAAAATGAATGGGTTAAGATGGAGCATTTGAGCAAAATCATAGTTTATAAATGCTGAAACGTTTTTAATGTAAAAGAATAAATTAATTTCCTGAACACAGAACAGCATAAAACATTTTCAATCAGCGCTCAGTAGCAGTAACGCTAACCAATCAGCACTCAGTAGCAGTAACGCTAACCAATCAGCGCTCAGTAGCAGTAACGCTAACCAATCAGCTCTCAGTAGCAGTAACGCTAACCAATCA